GGCTTCTACCTTGCTACTTTTCCAAAGTGTGCAAAGCATTCCTGGAATTCAGATTCTTTTCCCAAGTGGTTTTGGTATACACTGCCTCTCAGTTTCATATAGGTAGAATGGTAAATCAATGCCTATCTTCCTCCAACATATATAAACATGTGCAGAGCATCATCACAAGCAGGATGGTGGTGCATCTATCATTCTTACGTGCCTGCAGTATACCTTATCATGAGTCATTTGAGTTGCTCCTGCACCAGCCCTTAGTTTGGCAGTTTTACAGAATTGTAGTGGAAGAGACCTCTGGAAATCATCTGCCCTAACTCCCTTCTAAAACTGTTTCCTTATAGTAGATTGTACAGAAAAGCATCCAGGATGGTCTTGAATATCTCCAGAGGAGGCTACACAGCCTGACTGGGCAGCCTGTTCTAGTGCTCCATCACTCTTACAGTAAGGAAATTCTTTGTGTTAGTATAGAACTTTTTACATGGATGATTGGAATTATCCAAGTCTCAACCTGCAGGAGGAGATGAGCTAAATGACCACTTCATCATAGAAAAATTAAAAAGACATTTCTTTCTTGCAACAAAATGAAGACCTTGAAGGGTTTCTGTGCTCAGTGCAGCACATGCCCCATGGCTCTTGGCTATAAAGGAGCTTGCTTCATTGTGGACCAGGATATTTGGATTGCCATTATGGATCTTCTAACTGGGTATAAAAAAATAACTGTTCCACTTTGTTTCTGTATGTCCAGTTCTTCTGAATAACTTCAGAAAGTGTTTTCTTACCAAAATAATTTTTTCCCCCTGTGAGAGGAAAACAGAAGTTACATTTCTGTTGCATCAATACACAGAAATATCATTTTAAGTACACCTCGTTCTTCAGTAGAAAGCTGCTTCATCTAAATGGCATTAAGTCGAGGGAAAAGGGCAGAAAGGAGTACTTATCTTCTGTAACAGTGGGTATAATAATGGTCTGGCAATAGCAGTTAAAGTCTGTAAATCCCAAGGGTATAGTAAGTGAAATCATAGATGGCAAGAAAGCATCTGTTTGAATAGAAGAGAACAAACATTACACTAGGACTAAAAGTAACACAGTCTGTAGCTCTATTAAAAAAAGAACGCATTTGTCAGGGCTTTCAAGGATATTGAACGGTGGTAGAGAAGATGGCAAGCCAGGTCTTTTAGTTGCAATGGTAATTCTATGACAGATACTGTTGCTGCTTTGCAGTGTTTTTTGTTTTTGTTTTCTTTTTAAGTAGGTAAAAATATATGTTCATTGTGTCATGGATGAGTTGCTTCTACACCCAAAAAAGGGTTTTATTTGTATTGGGGACATCAGTGACATTACATTATACATATATTTATATGCATTTTAAAATATATTTATAAGCGTTTATATTTATGTATGTATGTTACCCAGGAGTGTCTCTCTCAACTGCCAGTTTGTTGGCAGCTGTTGGTAGAGGAGCTGCTCCCCCTTGCAGAGCTTAAAGCCCTGCTCCATTACTGCTCTTGCTCACAGTAAGCAATTGTACCTTCACACAGCTCTGGACACACTTCTGCTGTTGTCTAACTGGTGAGTAAAAAACTTATCTGCTGCTTATAGGTTATCTTGTAGGAATGTGATTATGCCTGTACTTCAGTAGTGAACCTAAAGTGAAAAATAAAGTTGTCTTCTGTCATTTAAATAAAAACTTGCAATTGTGAAACATTGCAAGCAACAAATAGAAATTAGTTTAGAAGATGGTTTTTGAATGAATAGTTCAGAGTCTGACAGATGTGAAAGAAAGGGGAAGATTGGTGCAGTAAGTAGAATACCAGACCAAGCAGAGCTTCTCATCCTTCACAATCAGTTGAAATAAAGGTGATCAAGAATTAATTTCTCACTAGTCCAAAATATTCGTACAGAAAGGAGTTATTCAAATAATTAAAGAAATACTGTGGTTTTGTTTGACACTTGTTTTTGAGGTTGATGTATTTAGCTCTGCTAAATGTCTAAGAATACAGTCACGTAATTTTGAAGATCATTGATTTTGATGTTTACACCGTTTTAGAGCATTATTAGCAAAAGATCCTAGATAAAAATAATTGGAAATTGTTTAGAAATGCTTGGGGAGTAATTGGTGAGAAGGTTAAAAAAAAAAAAAAAAAAAAAAGTGTAATAATAATTTCTAAGATAGCATAGCCCAGTTCCACTTTATGCCTTTTTCAAGTTGTTTTCTTATCATCATGCCAAAAAGCTATGAAAGCATTTTGGGCACAAAGCCACTGATGTGTTCCTGAGAGTACCTGGTTGATACGCAGTTAGCAACTCCTCCTTTTAGTAATGTTGGAAGATTCAGTAGTTACTATGAACATTTTAACACTTTTATTACATGTAGTAATAAAAAAAAAACAACAAATGTACAGAATCACAGAATAGCTTGGGTTGCAATGAACCTCCAAGATACCTGTTTTTCACCCTCCTGCTGTGGACAGGGTTGCCAACCACTGGTGCCAAATACCAGATCAGACTGCCCAGGGCCCATCCAATCTGTACTCAAGCACCTCCAGGAATGGGGCAGCCACAACTGTGCCAAGGCCTCACCACTGTCTTGGTTGAAGGTGGTATTAAAAAAAAGTACTAAGAAAAAACCTTTTAGTTTTACTTGCTCCCAAATCTGAGTGAATTTAAATTAACGAGATAAATTTTTGATTTGGTTCATTGCCCAAAATAATGTATACAAAGTGATTAAGTATGTGAAAGTCTCACCTGGAAATGTTTGGGTTCACTTTTTTAAGTCAGGATTTTAGGCACATCTATCTGCAAGATTCTGGTCAAAGAATAATTCTTCTGTTTTGATCAGTAAGTCTTATCCAGTGTTGTGATTTGCTATGTGCAAAGAAATGTAAGATCGGGGATTGTTTTCCATGGCTATACAAAGTCTTTTTACCTAGTTGGGCTAAACAAATTTGGAGCTTGGATTTGCAGACAGTAGAGCAAAGTGCCTCTCAAGCTACTGCTGGTAGCCTTCATCATGATGCCATCACTCCTGTTGCAGATATGCAACCTGATTTCGTGTACTAGCGCAAATTGACAGCTTAACTCCAAGTCCTTATTCCCAAGAGGTGAAGGAGATAATAGTCAATGAACATTTTAATATAGTCATGAATGGGTGCCTGCCTTCAGGGCTTTTTGTCATTTGTTGACAGCATGCATGTATCCATTCCTGCTGGTTTAAATGGCGGTTTGTTGGCTTGATGTGGCAAATGGCAAAGTGATACTTATAATCTTGAAAAATTAAATAGTTAGAGCTCGTTACTAAAAGAAACTTAAATAAAATAGAATCATTTGATCAAGGAAGTGTTTTTGTAATCTTCTGAAAGCAGTTGTTAAAATGAGATTGTCAGCTGTAAAAAATTGCTCCTTACTAAGCAGTGATCAATATAGTGTTTGCATTGCCTATGCTATCTGTAATTTAGTTTGGTATTAATATTTTGAAATCAGTTTAATAGAGAGTGCTGGGATAAATTATTTTATTTTGCACAGCGAGGTAATTAATCATGCCTTGTTATTACTTCTACTTTTCCTTTTATCTAAGGAAAAAAAACAACTTTGAGTGTGGAAATATATATTGAAATATATATATTGACAAGAAGCATTTGTCAGTATGAATTCAAAAACCTGGTACGTCCAGAGTTCTCTATTCTTTGCTTTCTCCTGGCATGAATGCTGGATCACATCAGCTTCCATAAATTCTCAACTACATCAAATATTGTTTATTAAACTATAGTTAGAATAATATTTGGATTATTCAAACTGGATAAAGTATTTTTACTTCTGTTTTGATCTCCCTGCATAGTTCTGATTTACTGATAACTATCCCAAGTCACCCTCTATTCACAGGAATGGTGAAAATCGTTGCAGTGCTTGTGGGATGAAAAATCTCAGCTTTATTGCTTTATGCAGTGGAATCATGAAGTGGCTACTATTAGATATCAAGAAATGCCATTAGTTTGAGGTCTCAGAGGGAAATCAATTTCACATACTAATTTAGAGGAGGAAAGAACAGCAGTAACAGCAATAATAATACTTAGCTCTCGTGTTACTATTTTCCCATAAATCGTTTGTTTGTAGAAGTATGAAGGAATAACAAATGACTAGGCTTTTAAAATGCTCTTTGGTGGAAATACATCTACTTCATATTAGCTGCCCCTGCGACTCCATACATCAGCATACAATGATTAAATGCTGTTACGCAAATTTTGTACTGTATAGTACTTCTGTTGTTCTATTAGTTGCTTTTTCTTTTAGTGTAATATCAGTATTAGATTGATTCCATTGTTAAGCTGTGCAAAGACATATGTAACAGTTGTAGTTTCACAGGAATGGAAAAAAAGCCCAAATCAGGTGTTTATTTGTGATTAACTCATCCAGGGGAAAATGAAGAGAAGAAATTTGTGATACTGCATACCCAAAGTGTGTGGCAGTGAAGTGCTTAAAGGTCTCCTTGTGGGTGGGAGAAAGGTGGTGATGCAGCAGTGTGTGACTTAGTTTTGCTTCTCTCAGTAAGCTTCCACTCTGATACAAAGCTACAGCTTACATTTATTATGTATGTACTGTACTATATGTACTTGCAGAACTATGTCTAATTTCCTGGCTACAAAGACAGAAGATTTTATTAGATGAAGTGGGATAAGTGGATTTTTTTAAATGTATTCAACTATTATAAAACTGGCCTCCTCTACCATTCTGGGAAATGTAGTAGTTTTTCTTAAACTGAATAAAAGCATTCCAACTGCAAAAACTTATTTCAAAGGAAGAATTTGGCCTAGCATGAGTATTTAAAGTTTGCATGCTTTGTCCAAATTGATGATAAAAGGAAATATGTAGCCCATGTCAGAGGAAACTCATGATGAATGATTCTGTTGACTGTTCTGAGCCTGAGAAAATTGCGTATTGTTTGCTGAGCATTCATTTATATCAAAGAAAATGTTCTTTTCTCTTTCCTTCCCTCTTACCTCATCCAGATTTATATTTTTGAAAATAACATCTACTACCAGCCTGATGTAAAGAGCAGCTCATTGCGCCTGACATCTTCGGGAAAAGAAGGAATTATTTTTAATGGAATTGCAGACTGGTTATATGAAGGTAAGCCAGACAGATATTTATGTTTATTAAAACAGATGAGAGGTTCTTGTACAGAACCAGCAGCAAAAATCTATTTCAGAAAATGCTCTCTCATGTTGCTTTTGCTCCTTTGTCTTCTCATTTTCTTGCAAGATTGCCTTTGTATCTATTCATACTTTGTATTGAGTAGTGTTTTGAATATAACAATACTTCATGAGAAAGAGGAATTTATTTTCAACTAAACTATGTCAGCTGAACAATGAATATTATATGGTATGTTAAAAATATACATAGTAGTGAAATCCTAAAAACATTGGGTTTTCACTGCCTACTTCAGTGGAGCTGACATTTCAAATAGAGCTATTCAAATAAAACTAAACACCCTGTATATTTTGTTTATTTAGAATCACTCCATTTATACCTTTGGAGCTATCTAGATTTGCACACAGTTAAAGAGGGATAGGAGTCAGTTTGATGCTTGTGTGATCAACTGTGCCAGTCCATTTAAAATTAAAACATCCTAACTGGAGACAGAGACAAATCACAGCATAGAGATAGACTTGTCTGTATTTTCCTTCTTTACTGCTGAATACATATCAGAAGGTGATCTAGTGCAACGCTTTTTTAGCTGTGAATTCTTCATTGTTCACTATTTGGCATTAGCATGACCTGCAAGAGACTCCAGCCCCAGAAAGCAGGCAGTAAGATTGCATTTGTCTCTAAGATACTTGAATCCAATTTGAATGTTATGGCAAGTTTTTAGTGCTGCCATTAGTGCTACCTCGGCAGCAACTGCTAATTTTATTTAAAGCAACTCAGAATAGACTCCAGAACTTGGACTTAACTATCCTTAAGGATCCCTTCCAACTCAGGATATTCTGTGATTCTCTGAAAGTGTGCTGTTGCTGACAAGCAGTGCCGAAATGCAGTGGACAGCTCAGTCTGTGTTATCTCCCAACTTCTGAAGATACCTTCTGTACAGTAGCCCAGGGTTTCTCTCTGCACCTGAAATGCTTTAATATAACTAAAAAAGTTTGGAGGAGGTTATCTAGCCTTGATACAAGAAATTTAAATTAATACACACATCAATTATTTTTTCTGTGGTACTCTGGGACTCAATTTTATAGATTAATAGTGTGTGTTAAATACTCGGTTACCTTAAGTATCTTCCTTATTGCAAGTAGAGTTTTGCAGGGCAGAGTGTTTTTTAAGAATGGTGGTGCACAGGATAATAAGACATGTTAGTGGGGCCCTCAGAAATGATGTTGTCTGTACCTCTTGACATCTGAGTAGTTATGAGCAGATAGCTCACATAGGCAGCTTTGAAAACTGCCAAGTTTTGCTTTCTGTCCAGGTAAGCTCTAAAATTAGAATAGTAGTTTGCATCCCTTTGCATGCATTTGATAGTTAGCCACTTGCAGTGAATGTTTTCCAGTGTTTTCCTGTGTTCATACATTTTGTCATATTCATGGATGCAACAGGGCACCTTTGAGCCCATTCTGCATGCACTTCGGGGCACCAGCACTGGAGAAGGCAAGCCTGTGTTTTCTGTTCTCCTTTTGGTGCAGAATGGAGCTGCCGTGAATGCTGTATACTGAAGGATCATCTTAAAGCTCTAGTTTGTAGAATAAAATGCAGCATGAGATTCTTTATAAAAATAAATCTTTTTGGTCTGCAAAAGATTATAAGAATATTGAAAAATGAATCAGGCTAGAAGAGATCACAGGAGGTTACCTGATGCAACTGATTGGTATTTGCCAAGCCTTTTATCAGAACTGTCTGGAAAGTATGGAGTAGATCCTGGCTGAGAATTATACAAACAGAATTTTAAGGCATATTTCAGTGTGTGAGTATTGAATTTTATGTAGTTTGGAGTTCTGCGTTAGCAAGATCTACACCTGAGAGAACTAATGAGAAGCAAAACTAAACTTTTCCTTGACGCATGCCAATAGTCAATACTTTTTTTTTTTTTTCCAGTTTATCAGTGCATCAAGCAGTATCTAAAGTAGATTGATGTAGCTTTTCCATAACTTCATTTGTCTTAAAGATAAGAGAAGCTGTTGGTAAAACAAATGACTTTTCCTTTAAGCTGTAGACATTTCACAATGAACAGAGGAAGAAAGTGGGTGAACTTGGAAAGAACAGCAGCCAGCTCAATAGTGGCAGTGATGTTATTTGGGATTAGGCTTCTGCTTCTCTTCGTGTGCCCATCCTTCATACTGACACATATGAAAATATCTTTGTGTGAATAACCTAGTTTGAATACAAACACAATTATTAAATGATTTCACTATTAGAATAATTAAAGCAAGCTCGATTATAATTTTTGCTATCTGATGTACCCCACTCATTCTCTGTTGGTCACCTGTGTAAAAGGCTTTAGATATGCAGTGTGGGAGCAGAAACGTGACCCAGAATATACAACTTTGAAGATAGGTTTGGGCTTTGTTGCTCCTTCCCTAGAGGATTCAACTCATTCAGGCACTTCAATCCTTTCAGAATCTGATTTGTGTCTTGAAGAGTGTCCTTTGACAATTCAAGTGAGTTTTGTAGGTAGATTCTTAAATTATGTATGCTGTCAGACTTCTATTCTGGTTATTATGTTATTCTCAATTAGTTTTCCAGTCATGTTCTTCAAATTTAAATACAAAATACTTGCAAAAAAAGTTATCAAATACATAACAAAAAACATCCAAGTCTTTTCACAGTTGGAAGACAAATGACCTGTACAGGGTGAATTTGGAATTGGTTGCAGGCTGCTTTATTGGTATTCCAGTTGTATGTGCTGTTTCTGTGAGTGCTTCTGTTCTTAATTCCTAGTATGAAATACAATGACAATAAATACAAGAAAACACTGCATTACATTTAGAGAATGATTTTTATTTGGCAAATAGAATTTGGATTAAAATCAAAATTTGGATTTAAAATAAGTTTTTAAAACTATTTTGGAAAAGTTAGATTGCAAAACAAAACAAAACAAAACAAACAAAAAAAACCTAAACTAAACTAAACTGACCCTAAAAGCTCCCAAATATTGCACTCCAAAAATCATTACATAAATGCAATGTGTGAAGATCTGCATGCAGAGAAATCAGGCATAATAAAATTTCATATTAAAGAAGAAAGCAGATTGTCAATCCTAAAAGAACTCTCAATTAAAGTTGTCCAAAACATTTAAAAACTAATTGAACGTGTAATGAAATGCAACAAAACTAAACATATGACAATTACATTTATCTTTCACATTACAATAATGTATTGATGTCAGTGAAAGTATTCGAGGAAGATGGGGCAAGTTTGATCTTTTCCTATGCCTTCTTATCCAAACATTCATTCAGTATAATGTGAAATTAGGGGAATTAAAACAGACACGTTTCAAGTAGCCACAGAAAGAATAAATCAGTGGCAACTGGATGAGCTGGGAAGTTTGAAGTACTTACTGTTACGATGCTAAGGTGATCTGTTTTTGCAGAGGAACTTCTCCATTCTCATATTGCCCACTGGTGGTCTCCAGATGGTGAAAGATTGGCATTCCTGACCATAAATGACTCCCTGGTTCCTAGCATGGTTATTCCCCGATTTACTGGAGGCCTATATCCAAAAGCAAAGCAGTATCCATACCCTAAGGTAAGATAAGTACAACTGTAGTCCATACCCTCCTATTTCCTGTGCAGTGCTGTTCTGTATGAAAAGAGCAGAGCGTCTCTGGAGGGCAGTAGAAGCTGACTTGGTTCACATTGCTTTTCAGGAAATATTAATTAAATGTTTTTTTTCTAGTAGACTGTATCACTTCATGCTAGAAAGAAATTATCAGGTGTGGGAGCAGAAGACAGAATGATTCATAGCAATTTCATCCTCAGTATATTGCATGCTAAAGTCAATGCACCACTTCTGTTACTTATGTTACAAACATAAAATGTTTGTAGGACTGCACAGGAAAAAGGATGCTGTTGCATTAAGTAAAATAATAATAAATTAAAATATGTATATATATGATATATGTATCATATAATATTTGATATATGTTGTATAATTTATATTATATACATATGATATGTATATATTTATATATGTATATATTTATGTATATATATATATATATATTTATGCATACACACGCACTGTCACTGATTTTGAGAACATGTAGAGAAAGATTTTTAGGTTTATGTTAGAAAATAACAGAGCTGTTCAGGGAAGGGTGATGTCTGAATTTGCTCCTCAGTTTCTGGGAGTTTCTTGATCAAATGCCTCCTTAGTCATCATTATTCTGATAAGTTCCAATGCTGATATTATCTTCCAACTTGACAGATTTTCTTTGTCTTACATATAATTTTAAAGTGCATGAGTTTCCTTCTTCTGTGAGACATAAGTCTGTGTGTATGGTACTCCTTTGAAATTTCAAGGGAAATTCATTGAGAATTTTGAAATAATATTGCTCTAACCCTATTCTTGCTGCCCATTTTTGGAGATAAGTCTTTGTTCGTAATGGGTGGAGAAACAGATTGCAACATGTACTATGAAACAACGGTGTGTATGATATATAATGTGTGCTGTGAAATAATACTCTGAAATAATAAAGCAATAACATTTTTAGAAGCAGTTCACATGCTTTCACTGACAAAAGGCCTTGAGTGACAGAGAAAAGAAAAAAATGTAATGATATTTCTAAAAAATGAGCTTTGTAAACAAGAAATGGGAATTCCAGTTGATTAGCAGTTCAGCATAACAGTGATGCACAGTACTATTCTAGTAATCTTATTAATGAAATAACATTTCTTTATTTAATGTGTCTATTTAATGTCAATCTAGCTACCCATTAAACATCATTAATTTGTAATGAATCTTGTGGTACAGCATCAGAGATGAAAGAAAGGTTGGATCTTATGTAAAATAAAACCATTCGAGAAATTTCTAATTGTGATTAAAAAATAAAATGAAACCCACGTGTATTTGTGAGTATTGGAACAGGCACTTCTGTGTACATGTTGCATATACAGACTTATAGGAGATATTTGTTGTGACCAAATGACTTGACCTGTCGTTTTCTTCCACAGTTTTGCATTTGTGTAAGCTGCTTCCATATTGAGAATGCCTTTGAAAGACTGTATGTGCTTTCAGGCAGACGTAAAAGTTTATGAGAATGAAATAAATTCCAAGAGTCAATTTAAATGTCTTAGCAATAGTAAAAATATACAAATACCACCTTCTTCTTCCTCGTATCACTTAGAAATAGACACCGCATTCAGACTGCCTATATTTTGAGAAAAATCTGATTTCTAAAGAAAAAATGCGGAGGTATATTTCAGCCAAGCCCTTTTTTACTTCTAAATGTCTCTTTGAAGAGTCCAATGTACTGCTTTATAGATTAATATGATTAAAGCCTAATATCAATGACTTCACTTTGCCCTTCCAGTATATCAAAGTCATTCCCACTGAAATACACACTTGTCATTCCCCATATCCTAAAAAGGCTGGGTAGTGTTTTGTGGCTTACAGAAAAAATAAGCTTGAATATGATATTGCAGGGAGATTGGTATGGGACTAGCGGTATCTACTTGCTTGTCTGATATACCTTTGCTTTCTGTCACCAGTCTTTTCTCAAGAATGCCCCGTAATAATGTTCCATGTTACCAAGAGTAGCATGAGTCTTGGCTTCTTGTAGATACTCAAGTTTTATCAGGCTCTTCGCAGTGGATGTATATCAAACTACCATTTTATTTCTCTTTTTCAATAAGAAGTGTTCTTTGTTGTTTTGTTTTTTTGTCTTATGAACACAGAATCCTGTGCAGTGCCAAAAATAGAGATTTCCTTCTCAGCAAGTCAGGAAGACCTAGAGAAAATGGTGATGAAAGAGAAGGGAGGGGAGGAAGAGGAGGAATGCTGTGTCAGATAGAGTTATGTAGCTTTTTGGAAGAACGGTAGGGGCTGGAAAAGACTGCTGGAATCTGGAGCTGGCTGCTCTTCTAGGAACTGACCAATGCACTTCCAACTTTGTCCCCTTATCCTGCACCAGAGGGCTGCCATCACTGAGGGACAACAAGAGGATTATAAAATTAATACTTAATATCTTTATCTGTGTGACTTGTATGGCTGTGAAATTCAGTTTTAAAATTAAAGAGCTTTCTCGTTATTGTAAACATACTTTATTATGTTAATGTGCAAGTCTATTTTAGCTGCCACTGGTTCATTCAGTACCTCTAAAACTCCTGTTTTCTTTTTTTCAAAGGCAGGTCAAACAAACCCAACAGTAAAGCTGTTTGTAGTTAATCTGTACGGACCAGCGCATACACTGGAACTGATGCCACCTGACAGCTTTAAATCAAGGTATTTTAATTTCACTGTTTGGTGAAACTTGTGTTTGATTTAACGTGACTGTCTCTCAGGTTACTGATTGCCATTTTTACTTCAGCACAACTCTTGTATTTTGCTGGAACACAGCTGACCTTGTTCTCACAGCCGGACATAAAGACAGTGAGGTCAAATACAATACTATATGATTTGCTCCTCTTAAAAAAACTCAAGGATCTGGAATTTGCTCATTTCCAGTGTTCTGAGGTGCTTCAGTTCTCTTGAAATATGTGAAATTAGGAATACTAAGAGAATACTAAGATGGAGTCAAGAGGTCCAAATGCTGCTCTGAGCTTGCCGTGGCATTCATTTGTAACCTTTCTTGCTGTGAGCCAACTTGTTGGTTTCTGTTTCTGAAATGAAATTACAGAACACAGACATGTACTATTAATGCATAGAACATGTTGCCAGGATGTTCTATCATTTAGAGATGAATATCTTAAACTTGTCAAATGTATTAGGTTATGGAAATAGTTTTCCCCACAGTTCACAGATGCAAGGAGGTGGCAGGGGGAGAAGCAATGCCATCAAGTCACACAAACTAAGAAGGACTGTGCTGTGTCTGTGCTTGATAGGAAGGTAATTAGAAGAAATTATGTTTAGGACCACTAAGCTAATTTAAAGGTCCTTTTGATTTCAGGACTGGCTGCAACTGGTAACCCTCCTGATAAAGTTACTATCTTAAGGTGAGCTCCTGGTTTACCTGTACTCATTGGAGATCACTTGAAACTTTTCCTTAAGAGCAAGAAAATTTCCATTTCTTCCCTTAGGGTTATTCCAATTAGACAATTACAGTTGTCCTGTTGAAATTCCCACTGTGGTTTCAGTGCACGTTAGTGGTCTTCTAGCCCTAAACTGTTATATGGTGTAGGTTATAGTAATAAAGAGTTGCTATAGTGCAGATACAGCTGCAGTCTAAGGGCAGAGATGTGCCACTTCCCTCTTCTCTGAGGGCATTACTGGGTGGAGAAGAAAAGAGAATAGAAAGATTGGCTTTGAAGACATATATTTCTAAAAAAAACGCTGTGTCTGGGTTGTTCTTGCAGTTCCGAGAAAAGATGGTTTCCAAAACAATCTAGAAGTTAATGGTGGGTAGTGATTCACAACCATCAATACCAACTTCAAGCTGTCCTCAGCTCTCTTCTACACAAATTGAGGTATCCGAAATTAGTGCAGGAATAATTTAGTAGTGAATTATGCCTTGTAATTATTTGTGTCAGCAGGAATGCTGACTGATTGTGTTCGTGGAGAGAATTATTTTACTGCATTGTGCATTTTGAAGTATTTTTTTTCTATTGGTGCTCAGAAACAGAACAAAATCTCCTGCTGTTTATTAGCCCCTCACTAATGAGTGCCTGTATGAGATTTGGAAGAGATTCCCTGCTACCAAGGTTAGCATCTTCACTTGCTTAAAGAGCATTAAAATTGTTGTTTTATTGTTTAAAGATGTGAAGATGTGAAATGAGGAAGCTCTGTGTAAACCACCAAGAAAAAGATAATCTTGAAAATGTAATGGTTTCATTTTAGATTTTTAGGTTTCATTCTTTCTGCCTGATTTGTTGAAAACAAAGATAGAATAAAACAGGCGAACACTGATATCTTAAATAGTATTATCTGCGTCATGAAGCTAAAGTCTAACTCAGTTTGTAGAATTTCTGGTGTGAGCCTGAGTGGCATCTTCCCCAGAGTTTTGAGTCCTTGGTGAAGATAATGTTCTCTGCTCTCTCTGTTACACAGTGCCATTCCTTTAAATTTCTGTAATACTTCTTTCAAGAGTGTTAAGGCGTTGCAATGGGCTGCGCAGGGTGGTGGTGGAGTCACTCTCCCTGGAGGTGTTCAAGAACCATGGAGATGTGGCACTGAGGGACATGGTTAGTGGTATAGTGGTGATGAGTTGATCACTGGACTTGGTGATCTTTGAGATCTTTTCCAACCTTAATGATTCTATGATGTATCAGAAGGCTGGTTAAAACCATGTAAGCCTGGAAAAAATTAGCTTTATCTTCATTTTAGCTATCAGGGCATAATATCTGTGCTATAAAATATAGGAAAGTTGCATAAATATGAGCCAGATATTCTGAGAATTTTACATTTTAGCTCTGGTTTTGAGTAATTGACAATAATCACATAGGTCATCAAATGTGTATATGCATACACACATATATCCATGTGTTAATATGTATGCTGGTATGAGGAATGGCCTCTGAGCAGGCCTTTCTCCATTGGAAATCTTATAATTTTTGGGAAGGTTTTTTTTAATTATCGTATTTTTGAAGAAAAGTATTGGCTGTACTCAGCAGTCAAGTCTTTTTCACTGCCTTTCTATTCAATTCATTGTGGAGTCATTAGTTAAATATATAATAGTAGCATTTCACAATTAAATAGTAAGGAGGACTATCATAGCTTTAAAGATCTTTCATGATTGACACATTGTGAAGATGCATATTGCTCACGTCATCACCAATTACTATTATAGGAGAGATACAATCCCATGCATAAAGGGGTACGGAATGTGGTTTCAGTTATTTATAACCCCAAAAAGTAATGTTCACCTTCTCAACCCTGCCCAACTCTGCAGTGTGGGACCTCTGAAAGCAGAAACCTCTTCCTCTGTTCTTACGGTGTAAGATTGAGTCAGTTCAATGCTCTACCGTCATTTACTGCTTGTGAGGATTCTAAGAATGTAATTGGTAATACTTCTCAATTTTCATTCAAGTTCTTCTGAAAGAAAGAAAGCAAAAATAATTTTACTCCGTAAAGTTTTAGTCTGTGGAGAAATTTATTTAAAGCAATGCATGAAAAATTATTTCTACACTGGTTCTTGAAAGTCTCTCAGTGTAGGGGTCATCTGCTGCTTCCTCTCTCTGCTCTCAGCCATAGTGAGCAAACTGCATTGACTGCAGTATTTCCAATCACTGCTGACCAGGTAGTTTTAAAAGGCACTTTAATAAATTAAGTCAATCTTTTTTCTTATTTTTTTTCCAATACTGCTTAAAAGCCTAAAAAAGGTGGATGACCACATCTGTGTTTTCATATTTCAATCATTTTGATTGATTTTAATTAATGTTTTGTAATGGAACTGGAAACACTTAGGAAATTGAGTTAACATAAATTTAAATAACAATCTTTAAAATCTCTCTTTTTTTAAAAAAAAAATTACCTACGCATTTCCAAATCAACAGAATTATTTGGATGCTTTATACACTTCTAGCTTGAAATAAGCTTTTGATTCTGAAAAGGTTTCTGTACCTCCTGCAGCCAGTTTGTCTGAGCCTTGCAATGGGATAGAAATCTTATTTACTTCTAACTCAAGTGGAAAAGATGCAGGGGGCAGTTTTGTATTAAGAAAACAAGTGTTCGTTTTCAGCTGTTCTTAGACATGCTGTCTAGTCACTTCTTTCAAGCTTCTGTCCCTCCTCTCTTCTGTAACTGTGCAAGAGCAATACCTATCTCACAAGGTTAATGCAAAGGATTTATGCATTACTGCACCTTTTATCAAGTGGCTCCAATATATTCAGTCAAAGCCTCCAGGATGAAAGTATATTCATGGGGTTTATTTTATTGAAGCTTTCCTGCTCAGTGCCAAGATACTCATGGATTATTCCCATCCCTGTTCAATGGGAAGAAATGCAAGTTCTGCAAAGGGGGCAGAACCAAGCCTGGCACAGCTATCCCGCGGGGGCTCGTGGCTGGGCTAGGGTGCAGCAGATGACCATCACCATGGCTAGGCTGGGTCTGAGGCTGTGATTAGACGGGGAGTGAGGCTACGTGGCCTGGTTGTGGTGGCTGCTGTCACCCACGGAAAGGGTGCCATGGACCAAATAGTCCGAGAGGAAGGCTACAGTTCATCAGTGTGTGCCTACAGCAAGCAGCATGCCAAAATGCTAACTGCAGTTATCTTCACTACTTTGCACACCATGAAACCATTTGTGTTAAATTTTTCACATGGGCTTTTGAGAATGGCATTTTTTATTCGCATCTGTAAATACAGTTTTCAATATACTACAGTGAAAATAATTTAAGAATATAGCAAATATTTTAGAGCATTGTGCACTGTTTGAGTTTCTGTTTCTCAACAACTTGCCAGCAAACAAGTAGGATGTAGTGGTTTGGCTTTGTTAAGCCCCATTTTCCTTATTGTCCAAGTCTATTAATACCATCAATGAAAGTAAGATTCCTTTCATTCACTGCTGTTTCCTATTTTTAAAACTTTCTTTTTTCTTGTGTTAGCTCAAGGTTATTTTAAATCTAAGTATCTGATGTTCAAACTTAATTAGGACTGTAACTATGCTTCCAGCATAATGCAGTGCAAATCCCTTTGCTTTGTTCCGCTTATTGCCTCTGCTGACTTTGTTGAGAACTTACAAACAGCAGTTAGCAAAATGTGCATATATCTCTGCATGTACAAGTGAAACAAGGCATGCTGAATATCCTTCAATAATGATAAATATTTTAGAAAAATGCTCAACTGCCTCCCCAGGAGTGCATATCAACTGAGATAATCAAAATAAATAAAAAACATTCAATAAGAAAGGAAGATTAAAAAAATGCAGGTGTACAGGCTGGCAAAAGATGATAAGCATTTTTGATATCTAACATGTTTTTATCAGCACTGAGAAATAAACTCAGATTTCACCAAGTTACAAGCCTTCAAAAAGAAAAATATTACTGCCATATACTCAGGAAAAGCATTTGTTTTCCTCACACCTCTCACTGAATATCCTCTGTCTCCATCAGGCTCCAGGATGTCACCTGCACCTCTGCAACACACATAAGGTGTTCAGTTTTTCTCTATTTTCAGAGATTTCTGTCTGCTTCTGTAGTGTGAAAAAGAAAGCTTACTGCTTTGAATTCGGGAAGGAAAAAGGGTTAGAGTAGATGACAGGGAAGAGACCCTAAAATATTGACATGAAAATGTGATTAGATATGAAACAGACTGGTTAAAAGAAAAACCACAGGTCTGTGAGGTAAAGATTGAACGAAGTTTTATTGACAGTCAGGGATTTTGATGGTTATGCTTATAGTTAGATGGTCCAGGGATAGAGGAGATGAGTACTAGCAAATAGGTTTTATGATTGCCTTGATTCATATTACAGTGTCTCTGATATGAGAAGAGTGTGCTGGGAGAAGAAAGCTGGGAGTGGGGTGAAAAGATATTTTGAGTGACAGCCAAGAGGGTAAGGTCATCTCTGATTAGGCCAATTGAATACTGAAACTAGGTTATGTCTCTGCCATACTGCCCCTCTGTGATATAGTCCAATAAAACATGTTTTTTCTCCTACAAACTTATGACTATGCTACATGTGTTGGCCTACAACAGTGCTGCTACCCTGTATATGTTTGTGCAGTATGTCTGTTCTGAATTACAAAGGAATATTACTTGGAGGCAGTATAATTTTGGAAGGATATGTGTTGTTACACTGTACTGCACTCCTGATAAACAAGTCATAATGTAGTGAAGTTTAAATTTATTATGCAGAGTTGATGGAAGGGGAGAAAAAAGGAGTTTTTAAATGATCTTTTGCTTTCGCCTCAGTGATCATGGAGTTTATGTCCTTGATGGAAGATGGGGTTATAGTTTGATTTGTACTATTAATTACTATATCAGCTGCTTTCCAAATGATTAAAATCTCTTGTTTCCATCCCTCCCTGCAGATGTTTTCAAATGGAGCAACTCAGGCTCTATTTTGTAGAATTTGGTTCTGGAATAATCAGACACTGGGGACAGTAGATGCTGTCTTGGTGCTGAAGTACATGGAGAGAAGCTGTTCTTATAGATGTATTTTGAACATTTCCTTTTGGCTGTCTTCAGGCTCCTGTATGTAAAGGGAAAGGCACGCAGTTCTTGAGTTCTGCTCTGGGGAAGCAATTACCCGAGGTCTGGTGTTGCACTTGGATTGTATGTTGGATCCTTGCTTTGTTGGCTTTGTCACAGAGCCTTACGTTAGATCTTTTGTTTTGGTTGTGTTGTTTTGGTGTACATTTTTCTCCTTGATAAGGATTTGAAACAATTTTCAAACAAACAAACAAAAAACAGACTCACAGTATGCCTGAAGTCACTGTGTCCAGTTATCATTCCAGTACCTGCATGTGAAAATATTTATTTAACTAAAAGCAAAAAATAAAAGCTAAAATCAAGTTGTGTGTGTTGAGTTGTTCAGCTGTGTTGCTACCAGAGAGCACCTTATAGACTGGTTGACTGCAGGGAATTGCTGACTCCTGCACTCAGCATCAGAGCTGGACTCAGCTTTGCTGCTGGCACTGCTCAGCATTTTGAACTAGTAAGATATCTTTTGAATGCATAATTAAATACGTGTTGTCAAAACATAATGAGATCTCCCTTGGTATTAGATTAAAAAACTAGTTGTATGCAAATGATGACCCTTGTTTTCAAGTGGGGCTGAGTTTCCAAACAGGTTATTACCACTGTTGCATGTAGCTCAGCTGGATTCTTTTCTGCAGAGGTCTCATTGTTAAATCCTTGATATTTTATAGCAAGTGACATTTTAAAGCGGTCTCGGCTTCTACTTGCAGACCTTTTTTTCTGAGCTGGGTTCTTTTACAGAAACGTGTATATTCTGAAGGTGTTTGTTATGGGAAAATACTGGCTTCTGTCAGAATTTCGTATCAGTTTTTAAGTTGACTGGCAAGTGCTTATATGTGTTCACAGACATATACCTCGTAGGCTAATGTTTCCCAGTTGGAACAGTTTATGCCTTACCAATGGCTGAGAAGAAGGTGCTGATGGAATACAGTTATCCCAGGGGAATGGGAACAGCAGGCTGAGATTGAGCCTTTCTGCCCAGTGCCTCCAGGAACAGATATTGGGCATTTGGGGTTATTTTCCCCATCCCCATCCCATAGTGCTGATCTTGTCAAGCCCTTGTACAAGGGCCTTGTACAAGACTTGTACAAGTCTTCATGTACTTTTTTATTCTGTATATTTTCTGTATTTTTTTGGAATGTTTAATCTGAAGCAGGAGTGATCTGAACATTGTGATTTTATTGTCTGTTTAGGGAATACTACGTCACCATGGTGAACTGGGTAAGCAACACCAAGGCTGTGGTGAGATGGTTAAATAGACCCCAGAATATCTCCATCCTTACAGTCTGTGAAACAACGACTGGCGCTTGCAGCAGGGTAAGTCAGATTGCTCTCTAAGTTCTCTTTTTAAGTTTTCTTCCTGCATTTTGTTCTCATATTCAGAAAAAGATTTTCAGAAATCGGTTTGCAGATGCTGTAGTTGCAAGCTGAGTGTAATTAGTCAACAGGGAGGAAATGGATGTGAGGACATTCCAAATCTGGTTAAATGACTTCATGCAATTAGCAAATTTGAGTGACGTTTTCAGAATTACTCAACTTTGTTCATTCATTAGCATCAGTGGAAACTGCAGTTGCTGAACATCACATACTATGGATATAGCTAGTATAGTAGCAAGCTTGTCTTCCTTTGGATATTTTCATGTTGCTAATCTCTGCTCTCTCCCCTTACAGATTTTCATTTTAAATCTTTCTGGCTCTCACAGTTTACATACTCTTAAGAAAACATGTAAATTTCTGATAATTCTGATAATTCTTACCAATTCAGCAGCAAAATTAAGTAACCAGGAAAAAAAAAAAAAACCTAATACAAAAGCAACAGAGATGTTTTAGTTTTGAGAGTAAAATAAACCAAACTGAAATACGTTTTTCTTCTTGAGTGGAGCCTTTTGACATTCTTTGACCCAGGCTTTGACTTCTTAAATTCCTGAATTCCTTCCCTCCATTTTCAGTCTTGTATCTTAAATGCAACCGGCTGTTTTCCCATTTTGAGTCACAGTTTCTTCCTAGAACTAATTGGAAGTATAAATATTATCTCTACATGCTCATATCAGTAACAAAGTAACAACAAAGGCTTTTGAAGTAAAAATGATTATGGGTGATTAGTGTAGGTTGGCTTTTGAGTCAAAAAGTTCTTATCAGTGTCTGCTACTGAAGTCCATTGTGTTAGAGTGTTAGGGATCATTTCTGAGCTCGTTGCTTATGTGCAGTACTTTTGAATAATGCAGGTTGCTTATCCTGACTTGTAATCTGAGAGTTAGTCCTCGTTCTATGTGTTAGATTATGAAATTTGCTGGTTGGGTTGCTGCCTGGTTCCTTTTTTTTTTTCTAAGAGAATTAATCACAAGTCACTGTGAGCAGTCCCTTCTGAAAGGAAAGCTTTATGTGCTCCAAGATCAGTGGACTTATGTGAAGTAGGTATCCAGGGAGCCCAGGAGATAATACGGAGGAGAGGGATGGAGTGAAATTCCACTCCAAAATAAATGAAGTGCAGAGGAGAACCTTGTAGGTGAGCGAGCAGTGCAGCGAGCACAGCTTGGCCAGGGCTCAGTTTGTAACCCTGGGCAGTGCCTATGCTGGGATAAAATGATGGGTGAGCAAGAGCAATTGTGTGAAAATGCAAGCTTTCCTCATGCCACTTCATTGCAACTGTGAACCTTTATTTATTTATTTTAGCATTTTGCAAGTTCTGAAATTCCAGAAAGTACTGTATGGAGCCAGTTTTATAGCAGCCATAGAATTTCATTTTCAGGCCATGTATTTATGGATGTATTTATCTATAGCTAATAAATGTTGATTACTTCACTGTGACCGTGACAATTTACAGTGGTTGACATCTATTCTATTTTTTTTCCAACACATGCATGACAACTATTTGTGAGTTTTTGTATTTGTCTGTTTTTTAAGATGGCACAATTTGAAATATGAGCATGACCATTAAAAACCACCCTTTGCATTTATTTTTTTCTTTTTGCTTAATGCCACGCTGCAACCCATTGAAACAAGGGATTGTGATTTGAAAAGGTCTCTCATTTTGAGCTTGATGCTGGCTGTTTGCCTAGTATTGATAGAGGACCTAAAATATCCACTTGTCAGATGATATCTAGAGCTAAAAACAAAATAGAACCATATGCATAAAGCATCTTGATAGCTAATCAAAAGGGATTGAAAAAGGCATTCTTTGGTCCCCAGTGGTGGTCTACCAAAAACTCAGAATAAAGAAACTGACTTTTGAATTAAATTATCATTTGTTTCAATGTAAGTGCCAAAAAAGAAATGTGACAACTGTAGCACAGTAGGAAAATAAAACCACAAAATGGCTTGAGGCCATAAATGCTATTTCTTCTGTTACAGAAATATGAAATGCAGTCAGAACTTTGGGTTCCTAAACAGGTATGGTATAAATGCCATTTCTGTCTGTCTTTACTGTCATTTTTATTTAATTGCATGATTTTGTAAGCTATTAAATAATAGTTTTATAAGCTATTAAAATCCTTTTAAACTGGCTGTGTTTTAGGATCTGTTAGGGTTTTTAGAAGTGACTGTATAAACATTCAAGTAGCATCTTCTTTGGTAATGGAATTGCTGTCTCTCAGCATCTCATAAGACATTTGGCTCTTTCAGTGACTATGTCATTGGTTGAAGAAGACACAGCTTTCCATAGAGCAGTTCAGATGTTTGAGATACATGTCTGAGTTTTGGAGGCAGTGTTTCCTTCAGTTTTTGATCTCTCTTCATCCAGCAACTCCATCCATCAGGCTCAAGTATTAGAAGTCATATGGGTTATAATTGGAAAGAATAAGAGTAATATTTTTAAATTCACGCCCAGAACAATATGTTGAACTAAATATGTCAGCAAATGATTTCGTTTGCATAGCTTCTGAAAAGCCATCCAATCAATGTATGAAACACAATCTATGTCAGGCTTCATTTTGCAGTGTGAAAATGTGAAATCATTTTAAACATCTGTGCTTATATAGCAAGCAGTTGTCCTTTATTACTTCTGTGTAAAGTTAGCCATGGAGAAATGATGTCACATTAGCCAACAAATTATGGTAAAACCATGATTAAGAATATTATTTAAATGTGTATACTTTTATGTGTAATTTTATTAAAACGAATGAGTCCTAAATAAGTACTCACTACAGTACTAAAGTTTTTCTGCATCCAGGCTATGGGAATATTTTTTTTCCTGATCAGAAGTAGGACTTATTTCTGTCATTAATTGCATGCGTGAAAAGAAACGTATCCTGGAAAATCCCACTGCATTAGAGCAGAGACTATCAGACCTCTCCACAATGAGGAACAGTTTTGCAAGGACTGAACTTATGCTTCAGGACAAGATTGCATAATGATAACTACCTGCAGGAACTACAGTGTTTTAAATCTAAGGGTATTTCTCCATTTGTTTTCATGGCAAATACAGAAAGCAAACTGACATGAAACCTAAGGTTTCTTCTGAGGCTTTGTGAAGTGAAAAGGAAAGCATGAGAAGCTAACATAATCTCACACTTACAGAATGAAGAACCTGTTTTCTCCAGGGATGGCACTAAGTTCTTCATGACTGTCCCTGTGAAACAAGGAGGCCGGGGTGAATTTCACCACATAGCCATGTTTATTGTTCAGGTAAGTTCTTTGTATCCCATTGGTTGTCTAGGATTGAGAATGTTTTTTGAAGGTAGGTGGTCATTTATTCTGTCATTTATCTGTCTCACAAAATAAGTGATGCTTTCTCTTTCTTTACTCTTATGTGCTATGGTAGCATGTAGGATTTGCATTTGAGAGGTGTTTCCAAAGTTCACTCTTTGGAATGTTTCCTGTTTCTTTGTGCCTCATTAAATGCACTGTAAATATGTATGTACCATTTAAAATTTCGATTCAGAATGTTTAGAATTCTAGGTGTGTATACAACAAGAAAGGGAAGCAATAGCAAAAACTTAAAATATTGTAAAAATTAGTACCCAGTTATTACCCACTGCAACATTTTCCAGTTGCTTCCATTTCCCAGGGACATTGCTTTCCAAAGAAGAATCTGAAAGAAGATACATTCCTGCTATGACTTTGAAGGTCACCAGTAAGAAGCTGTGATCACCTAGGAAATTATGCCCTGGAACAGAACATTCCAAGGCTTCTATTTAAATTCCCAGAGCATTAATGTAGATACTTTAGCAGAGCCATATGACATAGGAGGGATTATCAAGCTACCCAAACTATCAGAATAACAGACTTGGCACCAGATGACTCTGTTATCTTCCCTTATGACAGTATTCTGGTATGAACACTGAGTCTGAAATGTTCGCAGTGTACTGCAGACAGCATAGAAACAAAAGAGCCTTCATGAAATTTTAACTTGAAGAAGCGAGAAGATATTTGGTGACTGGAGTATATGTATGTAGAAAGAATGAGAGAAGAAAAAAGGAATCAGAGACTTGACAAATACCGTCTTCTAAAGAATACAGTAGCTCAGATGAGAACCTAGTAAAGAGGTATTAACGGAATAACCACACAAAAGTTCACATTGGAAGAAAAAATCTGTCAGTCAATGATATTTTGGTTCCTTTTAAATACAGTTTTTAACACCTCCACAATTATTTTAGTGTCAAGATTATGATTAGGAGCTTAGTATTTTGTCACTGTTGGGCAGAATTAGAGTTCTGGCTACTGTAGAGCTCCAAAAATAAAATAAAACTTAATTTTTGCCTGCCATTGACAAGAATAAACATGTCTAAATCATGCAAGCTATGACAAATTTGTGTTTAAATATATAGCTGCTCCCTGGAAGAAAAGGAAATGCAGCATCTCATGTAGTAACCATTAGTCATCAATGAACAACATTCTGAGTGGTAATAGAGCTGATACAGAGCAGTGAAGGACTGGAAATGTGTTTATATGATGTGCTTTACACACTGCATTAATCTAATTGTCCATTATTTCTAAAGCAAACATGGAGACATAAAAATTATATTAACCATTGCACATAAAGTCTGTTGTCCCATCAGATGTTTGTCACACCTTGTGAGAGCCACAGTGGCATGACAGGTGCCATGAAGAATGTAATGCAGCTGCCAAATGATTGTGCTTTCATCATATTGGAGCTCAGTTTAAGTTAGAGTTTGTCGTATTTCACTATACTACTCAGTGTAGATAGCAGCTCATGAACAGAAATCAGCCAAAGTATAGGCTTCAGGAAGTTTAAATGATTTTACAGACCAAACATGAGCATACAGTGACAAAGCGAATTTTAATGGCTTGCTTTAGTTTCATTTAATCATGGGTCTATTTGTCAGTCTTCAGCAGAATAGTAACAAATGATGATTTTTCTTGGGCTGCATTTCTTTGTACTTCAGAAATGCATGTGTCAATGATATAATCCAAGTGGGTTAGCAGAAGCATCTAATTAAGTCTTCTTGCAGGGGGAGGTTACTGTTTGAAAGGTTACTGTCTATCATAGATTATTTACAGTCTGAATGCAGAGGGCTAGATATGTGTTTTATTGTATTCAAATGCTTTTGGTAACTTATGAAATATTTAAAAGAAACTAATCTCAAAATGGGATTGAATCATAGGTCATGCATCTAGAAATTTCTTACTTGGGGTTTTGCAACTTTAGAAAGTTCTTTTTCCAACCACAGAAGAAGTATTATAGAGAAATTTTAATGGATCAAGGCGAAAACTTCCTGCAGGCTTCATAAATTATGCATTATGGCCATAACCTTGAAAGGTGACCATGTTTATTAATGCTTGGCCAGGCTTTTTATTGCTGTTTCTTGTTAGATTCTGTGATCTCAGTATGAAATGTCTCTTTCAGTAGTTGCAGTTCCCATCTCTCCAGAAAGGAAACAGTTGTTTGTAGAAAACCTGTAGAAAACTGATTTGTGTATTTTCTAGAGACATCACTGAATAGCAGAACCTTTCTGAATAAGGGAGCCAGCATTTTAAACATCTGTACAGCACCTAGCACAGCATTCCAATTTCAGTTGGTGTTTGCAAGTCTTTTTGTAGCGTTAGCAGACCATTCCTTCCTTGTGGATCTGTTCAAAAAGAGATCAATTCCAAGGAACGTATTTTTGTCTTGCCAGTACCAATTGTGTCTCATTATTGAATATGAAAGTAGGACATTTTATATCCAGGCCAATCATTGTCATCTCTGAGCTGTGCCACTGTAAAGGAAAAAAAACAAAACAAAACTAAGAGAAGTAAAATATGTACAGAGATAAGATTCTTAGCTTGAAATATAGGAATTCTCAAATGTGTTGGCATACGGACAACTGAAAGAAACATCTGGTGGAATCTGAGATAATACTGACTTTGAAAACTTTATATACAGGAAAGAAAGATTACTTAAAGTTCCAACCTGTAATAACATGAGCCTACAGTGACAAAGCAAATCTTAATGGCTTGCTTTAGATTCACCTAATCATGGGTCTATTTGTCAGCCTTCAAAAGAACAGTTTTTGTGAGTTAAAGATATTATATTGAATGTTAAAGATTTGACAGCTGTAATTGGTAATGAGATGCACAAACAGTCCTGCTAGGTAAAGAGAAATGTTACAAGATGAAAATTAATATTTTTCATCTCTCTCCAGGCTAAAAGTGAGCAGATCACTGTGAGACACCTGACATCGGGAAACTGGGAAGTTATCAGAATACTGGCATATGATGAAAATACTCAAAACATGTAAGCACTACTCTCTTTATTTTTGCAAATATCTGAGCTATTAAAGTGGAATCCACTTAACTGGAAATAATGTATCTGAAATTAAGCATCAATATTTCTTTCATAACTTAATCATAACTTCTACGCCACTGAGTGCATAAAATGCCACTGTCAGACAATTTATCTGCCAGTGTATTGTTCTGTTTTTATGCACAGAGAAAAGGAGTGTATAATGACATGAGTTGACTCATTGTGGTTTAAGAAAACACCACACAACGCAGCAGTGATAACATTTTTTTGGCCTTTTCTTGGATTCCAGAAGAGCAAATCACAGTAAATGTTCAGTACTTGACAAAACCCAAGATACTTCAGTTTTTCAGCTCACTTGGCTACTATCTGAAGTCTGAACTTCAATGATCTGATTTTCTTTACAAGGAGAGTGGTTAGGCCCTGGAACGGGCTGCCCAGGGAGGTTGTGGATGCCCCATCCTTGGACGTGTTCAAGGCCAGGTTGGACGGGGTCCTAGGCAACCTGATCTGAATGTGTGTGTTTGGTGGCCCTGCTAGGCAAGGGGGTTGGAACTACATGATCCTTGAGATCCCTTCCAACCCTGGTGATTCTGTGATTCTGTGATTTTAAACTCCAAAATTCCAATCAAATCATCCAGCCCCTAGATTTTGACCCAGGAAACAGATCTTCCTGAAGCCCCTCTTGGCATTACAATGGGAATAAGCACCACATAACTGGTGATTTCTGCTAGCAGAGAAGAACTGATGCAAAACATTTCAAGGTTCCAGTTGACTTCAGTGGATCTTAGTTAGCTTTCTGATGTATCTGCACATGGCAAAATAAATCAATACATAAATGACAATCATGTGTCAAATCCTGATTTTCTTTGAAGTAAATCATACTTCAGCAAGGACATTTTTGCACCTGCAACATCTCTGGAGTCTGAGAAATACTTTTTTTTGGCCAATACTTTCATGGATTTAAGAGCTGTAGGTGTAGAGAATGTCACGAATCTTTTCCAGGGCTCAGCAGAATAAATGAGATCAGGATGCAGCCAACTTGCAGAGAAGTGGCAGACTGCATATGTGCTGTCTCAGCCACTTGAGAGGACTTCCATACCTTCCAACATTGCAAACAGAAACTTTGAGAGATGTCATCTGGAACACACCAAGAACTTGTCTTGTTACTATGTCAGCAGCTCTACTAATCCTTTTTTTTTTCACCCATGTAACCTTGCTGTAAAAATTCCCTAAGGTCTCTAGACAGAAGAAAGAGTTGGTCAACAGCTCAAAAACGTTTTCAGGTATCACAACATCTGTTGTATTCTACGATATAATTTCAGTATGACCTTTTTTTTCTCTTTGGATTTATATTGGAAATTCCTGAAGTGAAGGAAGAACTTGTTCTGTATTTATAATATGCAGAAAGGGATCCTAGTGGCAACTGGAGCTCCTGGACGTTACAGAAATTGAGCAAAACCATTAAATGTTATGCTTATCACTATTTAACTGTGAAATCATATAGCATTTGTAATAAGTATTCTTCATAACAGGTTTTAAATAAGTCTTGGGAATTGTTAATTTAAAAAAATGTGCTTTACGATGTCCTGCCCCAGTCAGACAGTTTACCAAACTGAGTTTAACTTTGTTCTTCTTTTGGATGCAGTTATTTCTTAAGCACTGAAGAGTCCCCAAGAGGAAGACAGCTGCATAGGTAAGGAGTACACATGGTCTGTGTTAATAGCATCTTCATCCCAAGCCATGAATGTTAAGATGACATTATGTGAGCTTAATTGTTGCTGTATATTATATTATTTATATTATGTATATATTACGAACTGTAAGAAGAAAAGAATCCCAATTTTTTTTGTAATTAAAAAAGCCAACATAATTTTGTGTTAAAAAAGAGAAAAAATGTATTTGTACACAAAATATTTTTACAGTTATCTTTACTAGCTCTATAAGAGCATTGAAAATGCTATGCATAAAGAAAGAATGTTATACATGTGTTTGTAAAAATAGTGAAAGTCTTCCAAATACAGATCATGTTTGTTAGACTCCAGTCATGCAATTTAAATTGTGTGGCCAAAGAACATCCTTCTTACACAAACCACAGTGCTTAGGTCTGAAGTTAATAATTGATTTCATGGTGTCCTTCAAATGTTTTTACCCCAGGGCATTGCTATTGAAATCTCTGCTTTGGGCAGATTTTGGATTCTATCCACATTACCCGGTTTAAAGAACAATGCACTCTGTTCTCTGTGAACAGTTTGCACCAGACACAAAATAAGATAGTGATAGTTTGGCAAAATAAATTCTATCACTCTGGTGAGCTGATTCTGTGTTTCTTGTATTTTATTCCAATGGAAAATGTTTCTGATATTTTTCCCCAGTGTGTCAACAGTGGGATCATTGAATCGACAGTGCCTCTCATGTAACTTCTTGAAAGACCAGTGCACATACTTCAGTGCAAAATTTAGCCCCAGGAACAGGCATTTTTTACTGCACTGTGAAGGTAAGTCAAATGCATAGTTTGTAATAGTACTGTGTTTGCTTTGAATTAATGTATACCCATAAGAAATTCATTAGGCTGGAGTCTAACTTGTAGCACATTAAAGGATTATTCAAAATTCTGTACTGGGCTCCTTGAAAGACACTGAGTAAAGATGTTCTGTGCAAAAGCTAAATAAGCACATGACATCAGAAAGCTGCTTCAGTCCTAGCCCTTCAATTTTACAAAATCACACTGTCTTTCAAATTCAGCCTCACTGAAAATCCTTTACAACAAAGGATGGGATTTTATAATGATGATACTGTAGTTCATAGCAATGAGTGGAGTAATTTACTTAATTATATCATGTTTGGGGATTGATCTTGCACAACTATTCCTAGTTGAAAATGAAGACTTTTAGCTTTTTATTGCTAGGTGCATTCTGGTAGCACTAAATGGCATCAATTGGTTCAGAGTTGGTGTACGCAAACAGAAAACTAGAACTAACACTCAGGAAATAATACAGATAAATAAATGATTGTAGGAACAGGTTCACAAAAGCATGTAAAAATCAGGAATAAAATTTATATCTTGGCTTATCAACCTTGAAACTTGCAATATTTTATAGGCAGTGCTCTCCTAATATTTTTGCTCAACATCAGATTGAAAATAGTAGAACACAAGTCTGAAACATGACTGGCTCATTCTATTTACATGCATTTTTTCTACTTCTTTTGCGGTTGCAGATTGTTTTACACAAAAATAAAATCTGCCAGCTTGAGAACTGAATCTACTCAAACAGTGAATATAAATTGGCTAAAATAAGTTGTTTTTTTTAATTTTTATTTTATTTGTGTGTGTGTGTGTGTGTGTGTAACTGTACCTATTATACATCACTGATTAGAAAAATGAATATACCACCTTTATGGTTTCTACACGGATGCAGCAGAAGTTGCGGAGATAATCCCAAGGCCCAGTATGGAGCTCCTCATTATTTAGGCAGAGTTCTTCCTTGTGCTTGACATTGTCTCTATGGGGGAAATCTCAGATTCCTGCAAGAAGGATCACTGGTAAACTGGAAGAGATATTTGCTTTGAATCAGGAAGTATGCTATGGCCTAGAAACATGACTTCTTGTTATTTTGTTAGCAGATTATACTTAGCCTGTATTTTTTTTTCCTTTGGTATAAAACTGTGGATGCCAATAGGAGCTTGCACATAAAGTTGCTCATAAGCTTTTGATTTTCAGTGAATTTGGAGATTCCAGTTCTCTGTTTGAGTTTGTAAGATTGCAGATCACCCTCTCAGGATTAAACCTTCACTTCAATGAGTAGGCTGCTCTACACTGAAGGTGACAGTCTGGTAGCAGCATGGCCCCAAAGTATTGTCACAGGTCTGGAAAATGCCTATGATGGCATGGATCTCTGAGAGTATCTGACAGTTGACAGCAACATTAGCGCAGAGTTGCTTGCAAGTGTCCAAGTAAACTACTTTCAAAAGAAAATGATGCCATATCTGTGTGCATCCATACTCATTTTCCAACAACGAAAAGCCTGAATTGCTACAAAGTCAGGTGTCACCCATTGACTTGAAAATCTATGGGGATCTCTGATCTGGTTTGATCTATGAAAGTTTCTTCCACCTTCTGTTTTCTTAATAAGCATCTTTATAAGGTCATTTTTTCTTTTTAATTACTCTCAGCCAGACCTGTCTCAGTTATACCAGCTGTATCCATCAGGTCTCCAGAGGCCTCTCTGAGTGATGTGTTCATTTTTAATCTGGTAGGAGGATCAGCTCCACAGCTCTCAGTCTTGGCAAGCATCACTTATACCTTTTCTTCTACAGTGCTTGTGGACATTTCCTTTAGCACTTCATAAACACTAGCAGATGTTACTCTCTCCACTCAGATAAGTTAGGGAGTAATTAGAATTAGAGATTAATTGTTTTTTTCTCCTTTTTATTCAGCAGAGAGTAAGATGTGCTTAGCGTCAGTTAGAGAAGACCGATGGCAAAACCAGGAATGTGCTTAGTTCAGATGAGCTGTGATACGATGCCTGTAGCACAAGTCTTTCTCCTTTCTGACTGGTTGTTAATGTACTTTAATGTCCTTTTTTCTAAATCTGATGTTACCCTTATTTTTTAGAACAGTAAATAGAGATAGCCTTGAAAGTGCCAGTGCTTTTCCCTCAAAATAAATAAATAAATAAATAAATAAAAATTTTAAAAAGCTCAAAAAACTAAGAAGGGGGAATTGAAGAAATTCTCCTCTTGAAGAGCTAAGGAAGAAAGCTTTGATTGCCAGCAGTATACCTGCAAGATTTTTGTCAATGTTTTTCCTGAATGAAGATAATGAAATTGGTAACATCTTCAGTGGAAGCTTTCTGAGGCTGTGAGTGGCATCATACCATTTATTACAGGTACTTAAGTTTCCTTAGGCTTGTGACTCAATCGAAAGAAACAACTTCCTGAGGATGACTCAAAATGTGTGACTTAGTCTCTGAATTGCTCACAAAGTGAAAACTTTTTTTCCCCAAGGAATATATGGGGAGTCTCAGCTCCTAGCTGAGTCCATACGTTCATTTGCCCCAGGGTCCACAGGGACCTCATCCTTCCTAGCCCAACAGTGACTACCTGTGTCACTGTTTGATAGAATTTGAGCAATTTGAGCTCTTATCTTACTGAGATAAATCTAAGTTTTGTGTGCACAAATTCTGTTTTTGGGAGGGGTGTCAAGTGGGACAATTCATTTACTGTGAAGTAGGATTAGATTACGTTACATTAGATATACCATGTTATTGGTGCTATTAAAGAGCTCAAATGCCCAAGAGTTTCTTGAGCAGAGAATTAAATGAAATATGTGATAATTTTTCAACACCTCTGTAGCTTTTCCATAGAGATAGAAGTGGATATTATCATTAATTCATTTTCTTTTCAATCTAATGTTACAGCTTCTGAATGTCAAACTGAGCGTCTTCTAGCTTTCTCTAGCTTTTGAACTCTTCACTTGTTGTTAAAACATGGAGTTGAGTATAAGGAAAATTCCTTTTAGATGAGGGAGCTAGACTGCTTGCTTATGAGATGGAATGCAGTTTCAGTTTGGCGCTATTGGTCTTGTAATCTTCCCCACGTCTTTCCCAAGAGACAATGGTGAAATTACTGCTGCATTTGAAGTGAAGCATGTGTGTGGGGATTACAGCATCTGGCCTTACAAGGTTACTATTTTTTCATTCTGTTATTTACTGAAATACTGAGTAGTAGGCGCCCTATACTTCCTCTGTTTTTCTTCTGTCTTCAAAACAGGGCCAGGTGTTCCAGTTGTTAGCGTGCACAGTACCAGTGACACTGGAAGTGAGTATTCCCCATGGAGTGGGTGAATTTTATTATTGTCTTTGATTTGGAGAGTGTGGAAGAGGGGGGAATAAAAGAAAACTAACATATGTGCCATTCATAGAAAGTTCTACTAACTGCCTGTTAGTGATATCCACGTCTGTAAATGATACGGTGAAAGGGTAATAAAATGACTACAACTTTTCCAGGCTTTTTGGATATGTTTTATGCTAAGTGCATATCTTTTATCTTCTGTTTACACCTGTGTTAATTAGATGGCAAATTGCTCTTCATCCCTTTCACTTGCTATGTAAATTATACTGCCGTTACAATAGACCTCCTGTATTTTCCCAGATGTTTTCTAAAGGTTATAATCCAGTTATCTTGAAGTAAAGTGCAAACCTTGGAGGATGGATCATAAAATCTGACCTACATACAGCAAACTTAGACCCGTTTTCACATTTTTCAGATCAGAGCAACTTCAGTGACATTTTCAGTGTTGTTAGCAAGTCCAAACATAAGGCCTTTATAGGAAGGTATTCAATGCCTCTGAATTCTGAAATTTTACTCTTTACTTTATGTATGTTGACAGCAAATCTATAGCCAGGTATTTTCTGGTTGTTTGAGGTGCACTGTAGTATAAAACTGTCCCTGAGCTGTAGAATTGGCCTCATGAGATCTTCCTCTAGTGTAGTACAGGTAACCACACTACCTCCCTACTTCCAATTCCACTGTGGTTTTCACATAGCATGAAGATGTGGATCAAAGGAAGAGGAAGATCTTTGCATTTGAAGTTAGACCAATCATTACCTGTCCTGATTTCATTCAACAGTTCATATCCAGAATTTTTCCCAGAATCCAAGAATTTTGTATTCTGCTTTTCTGCATTCTTTTTTACCTAAGCCAGCTGCTGTTAAACTGCAACAGGAGACCTGATCATGCATTTTGAGTTAGCATACTGATCAATAGTATCATGCTATCAAGTGTTCATCTGTCCTTTGTCTTCTTTTTTTCTTAATGTCACTGTTGATAGTATTTGTTAATCTCAGTGCCTTATCACACTAAAGTGGAGGAGTTTTATCCAATTCATTAAGAGGTAGATACTGGTAAAGTAGAATCCGTTGACTTCTGTAGAGCTTCTGAGTTCACTGAAGGTACATTTTGACTCTTTATTATTTGTATCTAAAATACTATTGATAGTGAATCATTGTAAGAGATTTATGTAGAGCATCATAAAGCAAAATAAAGCAAGTTAGAATAGAGGCAAGTTGTTTGCTGTAGCAGCAAGAAACCAAATAATAAGACAGATAATTTATCTATAATATTTCAGTGCAAGATTAGATTATCGTCTTCAATTAATAAAACAATAATTATGGATTACTTCAATTATTTCATCCTGAGAGTATAATTACACCATTTTGGTTGACTGCCCAGAAAAGACATGTTCCTTAAGTCCAAAAAAGGACTGAAGTGGAGGGTTTATTATTTAATTTTTAAAAAATTACACTTTGGAATCAGAATTGTTAATTTGAATAAAAAGAAGAAAAGAGGGGAAAAAAGTAACTAATTAATCTTCCATATGCAAAATGATTGTTTCAAATCTATTTGCAGCTTTAAACAAAACAGAAGTCTTGTTCTTAGCTGAAAAGCAGAAGACAGATAAGGACGTGAAGTGGTCAAGTAGAGCTGTAATGGTGAAATATTGATGTGTAATATGTAATCTGTAAAAACAGAATATAGGATATTGCCCAGCAGACTGGTTTTTCTCTTCTAATAACTACTGTTGATATTGTTAAGGATTCTGGCATTCATGTAGTTTATCAGCAATTTCACTATTAGTGTTCAACAAGGCAAAGCCTGCTGGAGTCAGAAAAGCAAATAGATGTATATGTTTTGAATGAAGCTAGTTGCTCTCAAATTGCAAAGCAGTTCCATTATAAAAAAGTAGTTAAAGAAAGAGATCACTGAGAAGAGTTATCAATTCACATTTGTCTTTAATTTCTTTTTTAATCCCAATTTCTCTATGATATGATGACTCTCTGTACCTTTTAGTTTGACTGTTCTTGCTGTTTTCTACAGAGTTTTATATTTTGGAAAACAATGCTGTGTTGAAGGAAGCTGTTTTTAAGAAAAAGAATTCCAGGACTGAAATTAAAATGCTTCACATTGAGGATTACGGTAAATTTCGCAAAATTTTATTTTAGCAGACCAAAACTTTTCTTGGAATGTTACTGTTTTTCAACTATGTAACTCCGAGTCTTTAATATTTTACTCTTTTCTCAAAAGAACTCCCTTTACAGTTGTCACTACCAAAAGATTTCACGGATCGGAACCAGTATGCCCTTCTGCTAATGATGTAAGTATCAGTATTGAATCACAGTAGACAATTAAAAAATATATTTCATAGAAAGCATTTCATTCTCTAGTTAGAAAGTGGAATTTGTGTATATGTGTGAAATTACTCCATGGATTTCAATTGACAAATGAAAATATTTGTTCTAGGGAAGATTTTGTTATAGGCACTGTCTGGAAGAGATGCCTAAAGTTTTTGTGACCTTGTCAAAACTAGTTCTGGTTGATTTTATTTTGATGAGGTGAAGCACCAGCCATTCTGAGATGTAGCTTCAACTAATTCGTTCTTGGACCCATACTGATCGCTACCGACAGAGGATCACATGCAGAGTGTCTTCTTTTTTTTTCTCTTTTTTTTTTTTTTTTCCTTGATAGAAACAGTTAGAGCTTCTGAGAGGGTCTGAGTTAAGAGGCATACAGCAAAACTGTGTTTAGGAGCACTGGACAGAAGACAAAATGATTTTTGAGCATTGCTAGCTGAAAGCATTTTGCGTGTGATTCAAAGCCTGTTGCTATTTATAGAAAACATCTATGGGAGGTGGGAGGTACACTCCAGCAGTGTATGCTGTTTGTTTGAAAAGAAATAATGTGTATTCCTTGCACAGACACTCTTTAACTTAGGTACACAGAGACTGCATACCTGAGGAATGAAGCAGAGTCGTGAGCATGGTGACAGGCTGCCTGGGCTCAGCTACCTGAGCTCAACATGTTGGATGCCAAGGGTGTAGAGGGCTTTCCTGTGTTTACAGTTTTATTTCTGGTCCTTTCTGGCCCTGGATTTGTCTGTTCCTCTGCAGTAAAGCTGTGATTCCTAATGACCACAGGAGAGTTTGTCCTGATGTTAGAGTGCAGCTCTGTTGACTTCTGAATCTCATGGAGGGCTTCACAGTTATGTTTAATATCTCCAAGAATAAGCCTTCTTCCTGAATGCTTGCCCCTTGGGTAGACGTTTCTGTCCCAGATACAATGAACTGATATGAATTTTACCATCACATATGTATTTTCATAACTTTGGTAGAGCAGTAATACAACTTCTGCTGAGTTGTGTCACCTGGAGCAGAAATCCTCTTAATGACAGTAGAGATCCCTGTTGCTATGTGCAAGGTCAACTTCACAAGCTTGAGCTGCTGAGTGATGCTGAATTGCTCTGTTCAGCTCAATTCTTAGATGATAGGATAGAGAGGCATGAAACTACCTTTTTCTAGGCCCAGTTTGTTCAAATCTTAGGTTTTTCAGTGGTACTTATGTGCATTTGTAGAGGTTCTCTTCCTTAAGTGGCTCTTGAACACCTTTTTATTTTCCTGTGGAGAAAGAGGATGCATGGATTATTTTATCTTTGCAATATTTGTTAGTGTGATCTTGGAGCATGATGGTATTTTAAGGGTGCTGAAGTCCAACAGACCGTGTGAATTGACACCAGCAGCATTACAGTGAGCTGCAAAAGCTTGAGCTTGTTCTTTTTTCTTAGGGTACAGAGGCACTAAGGTGTTAGCAGTGTAACACTTCTCTTTTCATGTATCCTAGTAAGTAGATAATCTGCCATACAGAGATGTGGTAGAACATGAAGCTGTTTCAGATAAAACCTCAGGAAGAAAGGAAAGATCAGAAACCTTAAATAGGCCCTGGAAAAAATATGATAGGAAAAAGGAAAATCAGAGGAAATACCTTTATGAGATGTTTTTACCTATATACAATTTAAATAACCAAGAACAGTATTGAGACAGAGTCTAAATCTAGGGTCGCTCTTGTTATCAGTGCCTACTGAGTGAATAATGTAGCCAGTTCATAATACATTGATATATTTTGTAATTGGTTTGTTTTTTACGGTCTGCACATGGGATAAAAAATACTTTAGTTGTGAATACAAGCTGTTGTATTTATATTGTAATGGAGAGATACAGCCTTTTAGTCAAATCCTTGTCTTTATAATACTGAATCCTCTAAGGGAGATGAGGAAAAGAGAAAGTGAGTTTTAACAAGAAGTTCACCAAATACATATCTGCAGTCCATATTAAATCCCTGTTTATGTTTATGGAGGTTTCTGGGGCTTTGTTTCCTAAATTGGAGGGCAAATATGGCACATAAGATGTAACAGAGTGCGATGATTGCTTCAGAGTCTCTTACCTTCCCTGAACCACGTATTCTGCTAGGATCTGCTTTGCTTATGTGGTCCTGTGTAAAAACCAGTTTTGTCAGCTAGAACTGTTCTTCCGTCTGGTTTTGTGATGCATAGGCTGTAAAGTGATAGATTATAACGTTCTCCTTTCTTCCGTTTGTTCTCCTAAACAACTAATGCATTTCACAATTTCCTTCTGATATAATAGATACGTTCTAGCTAATTAGAGACATGTACACTAATTGCCTGAAAGCGTGATTATCATATCTTTTCTATATAATGAAGATCAAAGTTTAAATTCCATAATGATTTGCTCATTATGGTTCCTATTACTCATTAAAAAAGTTGGAAGATCACTCCTTAGTAACACACAGGAAATGATTAAGTAAAGTCTTTGGCATTTAATCTGAGTAATAAGATGAGATGTGATAATCATCCTTTATATTTTCTTGAATATAATTAACCTCATTCCTTCAAAATCTTTAGATAATGCATCTTAAATGTCAACATTTATTATTGAACATCATTTAAAATATTCCAGTATTCAACTGGATATTGTAAAACTGAATGATGGAGAGATTGTTCTGATTTTCAAGGAAAGAAACAAAGTTTTCCCCAAAGTAACAGTGAATTGTCTCTAAGATGCTTGTTTACTTGTTTTCATATATGTTGGTAATTATCAGGAATCACTTGACCTGTTGCCAAAACAATGAAAGCTTTAAGCTTTGCACAAGCAATCAAATCTGTTTATGCCTTTAGTCAGTACAGTCTTGGGACTGATATCAGGACAGTAAAGTAGAAGTGAAGGCTTTTTTTTACAGCTTCAAGAATAACTCATCAAAAGGCTAGCAGAAGTGCAGAGGCATAATTCAAGTATTTGGAAATAGTCTAAGATCTGAGGTCTGATAACGCTCTGTATAATGATAATCATTCTGCATACCTCTCATTTGTTATAAAGAATATTACTCATTTCAACTGTCAGTTGTTTTAAATGAAGGGTAAATGCTTAGCTGCAAGGTAAAAAGGAAAAATACATGGTGGATTTCAATACTTGGACTGCAGTACATTTGCAAAGGATGTTTTTTTATTTGGCCAGTCCCAGTTTCCCCTGTGAAACAAAAGCTTAATTTTGTTGGAGTCCCAAAGTCATGTGATTGACTCACTAATTGCTTTGCAATCCATCCATCCAGTGCCTGCGTTCATTCAGTCTTTGCCATGCTTGGCAGTATTTTACTTCTCGATTGTGCTTCTGTTACTACAAAATCTTTGATTTTCTTCTCCATTCTTTGAGCTTCATAACCTGTTTTGTGGCCTAGAGAGAAAATTCATTTAGCTTTAGGCTAAAAGAAGGCCAGGCTTGAGCTTTATCCCAGCTGTTTCCTTTGCAGTGTGTCCTGGTTTTGTGGGACTTAGTGGATCTTCTCACTCCCCTTCTCTTCTGTCTAGTTTCTGGAAAGGGCTCGGGGAACAGTTCTGATAAGATCTCTCCTCATACAGCTACCTCTGTTTTTAGTCTCTTCCCTTTCCTCCCAGCAGTATACATTTTGTGATGTGAATAAAATACATATTTAGTCTTTCTTAGAGAAAGACAAGAGGAGATTCAATATTTCACCTCCTTTTCTAATAGCACAAGACATGGTTTTTCTATAAGAAGATTTTTGTCATTGATATTTATTTGTGGATAGATTTTATCTTCAGAGATGAAGTCTTTCTAGTTATTGTTTTCAGGGTAGCTTTTCCATGTGTAACATCGAATCCGTTGTTTGGAAGAAATTGGAGGAAAGAGATGTGCAGGAAATTAAGCAGTAATGATAACAGTGATTTTCCACTTCTGTTTGGAAATTGTTTTGCCTTCTGCTGGTGAAATGTATAACTTCTTAAGTTGTTATTAAGATATTGCCACTTGGCTTTTAAGTGGTGCATATCATGGAAGAAATTTTTCTGCAGTGACAATACTAGAGTGGAAGGAGTGGAACTCAGAGTACAGCAGCAACATCCTGATAGCACAGTACTCTTCCCTGTATGATGTAAATCCTGTCATGGACATAAACTTCAATTAAAGCTTTTGGTTACAGAATCTGAAAGAGCAGATTCTTCTCCTCAGCAGTATGTTAACTTAGATGAGCTGCCCCTCTTTCCAGACAGGTGTGTAACTGCCTTTCAAAAAGGAATTAAAATTAGCCCCTAAGGTCACTGACTTTGGTATGTTCTTGATGGTTTTTGTCTATTTAAATGGTACCTCAATGATGAGCTTTAGCAATCTGCCCAAGTTGTCAGCAGTAGTGATGACACAGTGTACTCATAATCCAGAAGTGTAATGGAGTTGCTCTTGAAGACACGAACAAGGCAGCTCTGAACTTTGGAAATTAAGATTAAAAAAAAAAAAAAAGAAAAAAAAGTAGGAAAAAGTAGGTGCTTATGCTATCACAAAACAGGAGAATAAACTGAATCAGGACCAATAAATAGGGTACCACTGAGTAGAAGTTAATTGTAATTAGTTTGTAAGTAGTGATGAATGTAAGACAAAAAACGACCTTAGAGAAAGCTGGAATGCCGGGACAAACTTTGCAGATCAGGGTGTGCATCTATTACTGCTCTGCAGTAACGAGACTGCTTTGTTACAGACCTTTCAGGGTGATGCTTAAATTTACATAAAGGATTAAATGCCTCCTAGAAGCCTCATTTAAGGAAAAAGTGGGGCCTAAATGATACATACAGAGATACAGCATAAGTGCTTTATCTCTCTGGAAAAGGGTCACACCTCAGGTAATCAGCATCATTTTACAGTAGCAGCTGAGGAGTAAAGAAATCTTCTGATACTAATGGGAATTTTGACGTGTACCTCAGTGTAAATGGCTTTAAATGCCTGCTACAGACTACTAATGTGGTCAATCTTGAAATAAATTAGCCACTGGAAAACTGTTTCCAAAAGCAGTATGTCCAACAACCCAATCAAGGAGTGCTAGAGATGTTTAAAGTCAGCTAATCTTAAGCTGTTGCTTTTGGAAACAGAGGTGGAAACTCTGTGAAACTGTTGTCAAATGTAGACAGCTTCTGACAACCTTACTCTGTACCACTACCATAAATTGAAAGAATTGTTCTGCTCTAGCCCTTATCGCAATTGGTAATGATAATACACTTCTGAAGCTTGTGTTTTCTGCCAAGCTCATTTGACAGTCAGTGTTTCCTAGTTAATTGCTTTGTGTTGTTCACAGCTGGTGCAGTTGTGTGTGACAACAACTGAAGTGATTAAGAAAACAAAAAAGACCCTGCCTTTACCTTTATAAACCCATGTGTAAAAGTGATGCACAAGATAATGATGAATCAAGTGTAAAATATTTTTATTAACTCTGCAGCTGAGTAATCCATATTCCAGTGCATGTTATGGAAGCTACATCTACATGGTAAATCCTACTGAATTTGTGAACATATGTATTCATCGAACACTTGCTAATTAGTAAGACAATTAATGTGAAGTTGATCTATGCTATCCACAACAACAAAAGATAATGAATGGGCACCCTATTGTAAATACGATATTGTAAATACAGTAGTTATTATACAAGACTTTCTTTCCTCTCCTCAGGTTTGCATGACTCCCTTTAGCTGAGACTTCTTTGGCAAAATAATAATTTCTGTCTTTGTATGTCTTTCACCTTAGGTAGGATATTCCCGCAGACACTGTCCAATCTTATTTCCATATGGCCAGCACAGAAGTTATGTTTTAATTTGCATCCAAGTGGCAGATGCGGTCTGCATAGAAGCATTCTGCATTTTGTAGAGCTTCATAGTAGCTTGCTCTCTTGTTCTGTGTTTTTCTTGGGGAAAAAATAACGACAAGCTTCCCTTTAAAAACTGTCATTTTATTTTATATGGGGGAAATAGTGTATTTGACTTCAATGGAAAATGCTTATTATTCCTGTAGAAAAAGCATTCTCCCATTCTTTCCACCATTCCTACTCTGAAATACTTTTTTTTCTGTCATAAAATAGACTTATCATTCCTGCTTGCATCCATTCTTTGCTGTAAATTTGAGTGGTGAAAATATAATTTTCTCCAGTGTGTTCTTTAGTCTTCCTTCTATACAATTTCAAAACATTCATTTGAGGACACAATAATGCAATTATTGTTTTTAACATGGCAACCTTATATATCCTACAAAATCTTAATCAAGGTACTGAATGAATTTTCCTTTTTCTGTGTTTAATGCAACTTAATTGTATGTGAGCCTTCTCAGAACTAAACTAGCCATTAGAGATTATGGGGTTTTTTTGTTCAATTTAACCTATAAGCAGCACTCATTGATTTAATTTTCTGGTTCTTTCTATAAAGAATATTCATCTATTGGCATCACTACAGCTTAGTTGTTATAAAGTTCAAGAATTCATTTTGCTTGCTGCTACTGCAGGGACAGCAGCACTGTCTAATGGAATGGTATCAGTGGAAGGGACAGTAATTCAACAGGATTACATAATCAAATGAACTCTGCCGTCTAGGTTAAATAAAATATCGAAGAGCAGCAAAGCACATCACATTATCAATAGTCTTCGTTTGTGTCTGATGTGTTGGTATTTGCAGTGATGAAGCTCCAGGCAGCCAGTTGGTTACAGATAAATTTCGCATTGACTGGGACTCAGTGCTTGTCAACTCTGATAATGTCATCATAGCTCGATTTGATGGCAGAGGGAGTGGATTTCAAGGCCTCAAGATCCTACAGGAGGTGCACCGATGCTTAGGATCAGTGGAAGTGAAGGACCAAATAGCAGCTGTAGAGTACGTATGTGCAAACTTCTCTTCTACCATGCTTCTACCTTGATAAACACTTTTAATTGAAACTGCCCAGAATGCTTTGTTTGTATAATAAATACCATTAGTGTTTGTTTTTAATGCAGTTGCAGATTTTGAAATAATAGCCTTTTAATTATGAAAACGAAGTTAAAGATCAGGGATTCTTGCTTTATGTGTTTGCGCTTCTCATTGGTAAAGCTCTTCATCTGAGAGAAGATGGCCTCTGAGCTAATTTCTATTTGTCCTAATTTCAATTTTCACAGTAAGAATGGTAAAGTTTAACTACTTTTGTGTTGTAATATTTTATAACGTTTTAGATCTATATGATAGGATGCTGCTCTCATTCTCACCACAACATTCTCAAGTTGTTGTACAATATAACTGGAGTTAAGGTGTACATGAGATCAAAACTTAGGCAAGTGTCCACTTTTTTCTCAATTGAATTTTTCATTCCTTGACTGATGTAAATCCATCCAGCTGCAGAAGAGAGTCATCTGTCTCTATAGATGAATCACACACAGCCTTGGCAACCATCTTTACTCAGGGTGCAAAATTCCAATAGGTCTGGATGGACATTTTCTGGGGATTCTCGAGGGATGATAAGGGCAGGCTTAAAACCAGCTATTTATTTTCTTTGAAAAGTATCAATCTTTCAAACAGTAAGTGAGTATAGCTATGGTATGACAGACCTGGGCGGTGGAGCTCTTCACATTTGTATCAGTCAAGAATGGGTTGTGCTGAGCAGAGCAATTCATCCTGCAAGTGTCCTAGTGACCTTTGCAAGAAGGGCCGCTGGGAGCAAGCCACAGAAGATCTCATGTGCTGTGACATCTGAGCTCTGTTTAAATACTCTGTTTTAGACTAAATTACATCTGTCCTCTTTTTGGATGCATTACATGGGAAAATTGGAGGGTGCCCTTAACCAGTACTGCATTTTGTTTTTGTCTCTTCAAAAGTAGGTGGATTTGGGCCTCAATATGATTAATTGCTTTGATAATTAATTATTTCCTTCATTATCTAGACATAGGAAGTTGCATCCATTTTACCTTTCTTTAGCTGTCTGCATGCAGATTTGGCAGCTGATCAAAGAAAGTCATTTAAACTCTAGTCAGTGGATGATCCTGGCATTTCTAGAGGGTGATTCTTCTGGGCTGAGGGAAATGCCTGATGCAAGTGGGAGGAAAGACTCATTGAGAGTGCTCTCTCCGTGCTTTTGACCAAGGAACAGATATAAATGGGCAATTTAGACAAGTGCTCAAATCCAGGTATCTAAAGTTAGGTGAGGTGGGTCCAATGCCATGTGTTTGCCATACAGAGAAGAAATTTGAAATAAAATCACATTTCTCAGTGTAATATCAATTTATTGCTGTAATTTGTTCTTCTGCCTTATCCACAAATATAACAATTCCTCATAGTACAAGTAATTTTCTTTATATAGTAGATTCATTAAAGTAAAAAGGACTGTATTTTTTTTCCTTGCAGATCATTATTGAAACAGCCCTTCATTGATCCTAAGAGACTGAGTATATTTGGAAAGGTAATGTGCAAAAAACAGTTGGATGTCTTGTCACGATACTTCAAGAGAATATTATCAGTTCATAAGAAAATATGTTTAACACTTTTCCTAAGACAATTCCATTTGTTAAAAGAAGTCTGTGTATGTGTAAGGGATGAACTGCCATAATTTACTTTATATTCTGTGTGGTTTTTTTTCATCTCATAATAGGTATTTGAGGTTAATCAGGTTGGCTTTATGTTACTGATGTATTTGCTTTCCAGAATCTGTAGGAGAGAGTGTTGCTTTCTGCTTTTATTAGAAATTTTTAATATGTGCTTAGTGTTTTAAAAGCTTGGGTCTTGCACATTTGGGCTGCAGTTAATTGACTGTTTCTTTCTAATACAACTTTTATATCCAGATATTCTTCTGGCTGCCTCTATTTTCAAAAGAAGACTCAACAGTTTCCTAACAGTGACATGACAAGCCACAGTTACCACAGAGCACACATGTAAACATAGTTCTGCTTATCTGCCAAAGGCTAAACTAAAATTCTTTTCCTCTTCAAAATATTACTGATGATTGCATACCTGCATTTGTTTTTAGAAAGAAGAAGAAATAAGAAGTGTAAATGCGTGCAGGCGAAGAGCAAGAGCTGGGGATTTCCTAAGCTTCAGCACTGCTTTGAATTGAGGGAAATTTACCCTTTCTGAGCTAGTTAACCTCTCAGAGTTATATTGAAATGACAAAAATTCATAAAATCGATAAGTCAGTTTCGGAATTAGGATATGTATGGATAAATATAGATATACTTAGCAGCTTTGTAGGGTTACTTGTATTTTATCTTTACTCTGCTTATTTTAGAGTCAATTATACTTCTTTAAAATTCATTTCCTTTCAACCATATACCACAGTGTGATAGAAAAAGTGTTGTTTTTTTTTCTTTTGTTCTGTGCATTACATTGAGCTTACTGATGAAAAAAATTAGGCTTTGCATGAAAGTAAGATGACTTTGGAATCACTTAATGCTACTCTCATGATGCTGGGCTCGTGCGCGCAGTCATGGAGCTCTTTGAGAAGTTCTGGAACTACACAGAAGTAAAACTCCTGTCACAGTCAGAATGAATCCATGTTTGCTTCTTTTCCGTGTTGGAACTTCACAACCAACCAGCTTCTTGAAAATAAGGCATCTAGGTAACCGCAGAAATCCAGCCCATGAGTGAGGGATCATATATTCTTACGTCAGGACAGAGAATTATTTTCTTTACCATCATGTTGAAGCAATTCTGAAAATTTGGTTTCACAGTGTGAATCTTTTGTCCTGGAAAGCCTGGCTGGAAGTGAGTGCACAAGCACAAAGGAAAGAAATTCCTAGGAGAATTAAGCCAAGCTCTTGATAAATATATTTTATAAATAATAAATAATGTGCCAATAGCTGTCCAAGGATTAAAACTGTGTTGTGAAGCTTCTGGAAAAGATACAAACAGAATATTAGACAACAGAGAAAGTAGAGAGCACTGAGGCAGAGGAAAGTTGTTGTTCTCTTAAACTCTTTGAATTATGAAAGGCATTGCTGCCCACTTAAAAAAATTTTTCTTGACTTAAATCTACTCCTGCATATGGACAGTGATGGGTTAGCCTTCTGGTCTGAAATTCCTGTGGGAGAGAGGATAGCCCAGATAGGCTCCCCAGCACCTTACCTTCTTTGTTTGGTTTTGGTCACTTGTTTTTGTTGTTCCCCTCCCCCAATAATTCTCAGATCTCTTAGTAACTGTATGTCCATTTTTAGGGGTATGGTGGCTACATTGCATCAATGATTCTGAAATCTAGCGAGCGGCTTTTTAAATGTGGAGCTGTGGTGGCACCAATTACAGACATGAAGCTATACGGTGAGTATTCCCCACCCTTCAACTTTGGGATATCTTTTATTCATCATAACTGGGAGGTAATGCAGCAATATCAGCTGAGTCTTACCTCACTTTAAGTGAAAGGACAGCTCACGTGGGGACAGGTTACCAAAACACACAACAGATGCACTATTGGCAACACCACAGATTTTTGTCAAAGGGGTTCTGTTTTCCATTTCCACTGAAATTCCATCACGTTCCCTGTTTCCTTAGAACTCGTATTCAACTCCTGAATCACAATTGTTAATGCAAAATGAAGCTTTTAAAGTTAGTGGTAGAATTCCTTAGGATATCATGTCGTTATTCAGTCACAGGGTACTGGGTGCTGTCTGTGAAGCATCTGGCACAGGTGATGGAATGTGGGCTATGGTGCGCAGGAAATCAGACCACATTGGTGTTTTAACAGATTCTGGATTTTAAGTGAGCACCTTGTGTTCTACTTATTATCTTCTCCTCCATAAATATCTTCTCCTCGCTGTAAGTCAGAATTAAGGAATTTTAAAATGGAGCAAATTTTGATGAATTCATGAGAGTTTATTGTTGTTTCGTGGTTTGTTTTTTTTTTTTTTTAACTTTTATTTTTTTTACTTACATAGCATCAGCTTTTTCAGAAAGATACCTTGGTATTCCATCAAAAGAGGAAAATGCCTATCAGGTAAGTTACCATAAACAAGTAACTTAAAACAGTAATTTTGCTTTCAGAATACGCTTACACTTCTGTATGTTTGTTTACTAGGCATCCAGTGTATTACACAATCTTCATGGTTTAAAAGAAGCAAATATGCTAATAGTTCATGGGACTGCAGACAGTAAGTACTCACAGATGCAACTGCATTTCGAGTCAGAGATTGTAACAGGCAGAGGAGACAAACATTCAGTGAGACCATTTGGAGTTAAGTTATTCCTCTGTTCCTCATTATTCATCCTAAATATAGGATCTTTAATATTCTGTTTCAGTTGTCACTTGTAACTAGATTCATGACATTTTTCTTTGCTGAATGTTTGTACCTTTCAGGTGCTATATGTTGTAATCTGCTTAAATCTTGTGGAGTACCATCTTGCTAGTGAAGGTTATTCTGTGGATTATTAATGGAAAAATATACATTTTTAATGGATTGTTAAATTCATAGAGATTCTGCAGCTGAGGAAAGAGTTGTCAGTGTGTTTGGTGAAGAACGGTATCAAATGAGGAGTTAACTTCGGCTAATTAATTACAAAGTAGTGCCAAAGCATCTGAAGCCAAGTCTGCATGGTTTCTTTTAATAGCACCGATAGTTTCATCAGTAGCTTAAGACAGAGAGTAAGTAAATCAAAGTAACTCAAAGCACTTTAAATGGAATTATAGGATGCATCAATCAAGAGAGATTTAAATCTATCTACAGTGCATTTTTCTGAACTTTCCTAACTGATGTGGAGCTAAAGAATGCTCTTCGATGCAGCACAAATGATAGAATTGGGATTCTGATGGCTGGCTGAGCAGCATGGGATGTTCAGCACTGTGGTTGTGATTGCTGCTGCCTGTACTTAATACCACATCCAGTGACACTGCCCAGCCCACTCAGCACTCTGCAGGGGGAGGACACAGTTAATAAAGTTGCCTGTTTTCACCACACAAAGATTAAGTTGCTGATATGTTGCAGAAAGTCCATTACCTGAAGAAGTATGGGCTGTAATAACCTTGTGCAAGCAGTAGAAAATCTCATGTGCTTTCCCTTGACACAATTATAAACTGTCATGATGTTCAAACAGAATGGTTTTACACACTCTAATCTATCTCAGTGTGTGTAAATCAAGGGGAAGCCTTCCACAGTGCCAGTTCAGCACAGCTTTCCTGGCTCCCAGCTTCTTCTCCAGAATCCTGCTGTTAGGTGCTCTGTGGCTTTTGCTAGCTGGGCTCTGCATTTCTGGGTGGAGGGCTACTCAGTTCTGGCAATAATTGAGACTGGAAATGTTTTCAGTCAAAGCTATTTAACAGATCAACATTTTATATGACTTTGTTTTTTCTAATAATATCCAAATGTTGTCTTGCAGCTAAAGTCCACTTCCAGCATTCAGCAGAACTAATTAAGCATCTAATAAAAGCTGGAGTTAATTACACTATGCAGGTATGTACAGCTGTGGCACCTCTTGTGAACACGAGTCAACATTTAACCTCCAATCGCTATTTCTACAAAGGACACTTCCAACCACAGCACCGGTATCTCACACCAGTATTGTGACTGTTTGCAGCTAGAACATTGTTTCATCCCAGTTTCTCACTGCTGTTATGGACTTTCTCAGCTCTTTTTCCTCCACTAAGTGCTTTATTATTCAGACACACTTTTTGTAATATGCAAAATCTTGTTCAGCCTCACTTGGGAGAATCCCATTTGAGATAAAACTTCCCGTATCGACCTCCTAGAGAAAAATGATGGGCTTTAGATGAGATGGGAGGACTATTAATTATATAAATAAAAAGACTTTTCACTGAACACCTAGAATATCGGATATTAGGAAATATTTCTTCTCATAAAGTGTGGTGATGCGCTGGAGGAGGCTGACCAGGGAGGTGATAGAGTCACCATCCCTGAAGGTGTTCAAGAACAGTGGGGAATGTCTGATTGAGGGACATGGTTAGTGGGCATGGTGGGGGTGGGTTGGGATTGGACTCGATGATTTTAGTGGTCTTCTCCAGTGGTCTTAATAATTGTATGAATCTAGGATAATAAGTATCTAAAAATACAAGGTAGTTGGTCCTTGATGGTGAGATGTGAGTGCTTGGACACTGTTGAAAATGCCAGCAAAGTGAACTGGTATAAGCATAGGGACTGTAAATATAAATTTGTTCACTTCTGCGGAGCTCACTGCGGCTGTTTTCTCTTTAATTCCAAATTCCAAGATAATGAATTTTACTTTGAGTTTTATTACCTTTTCTCGATACTATAAAACTAATGTTATCATCCTATTGTCGTCTGAAACATTTTAAAGATCAGGGAAAGAAAATTAGAGCCCTAAATATTTGAAAGACCTTTGAGAAACTATTTGCTGTTCTCCTTTTTCCTCTGCTAGATCTACCCAGATGAAGGTCATAACATTGCTTCTGAGAAAAGCAAATATCACCTTTACAGCACAATCCTTGGGTTTTTTAGTGCTTGTTTAAAGGAGGAGACACTGATTTTACCACAGGAACCTGAAGAGGATGAATAAGGAAGCCTATTTGTGTAGTACTGAAGGGGACTTACTTTGCGGCTCAATAAAACCTTAAAGTGACTGTGAGATTGCAGATTCTGCAGAAGCTCAAGGGCAGCTAAAGGATATCACAGTGGAACAGCACACTTACAGACAATGAGCTAATAAACTGGAATTCGACTACAAAGTCCAGACACATTACCAAGGGACAAAACCTTTACCTTTGTGGAAGGTCAACAGTTGGTTACAGTTTCCTGGAAGAACATAGTTTTGCATAAGTGTAGGGTTAGTGCATGTTTGTTATGTTAAGCCTCACTGTTGGTTCTGAAAGTGGTTGCTTGTTTTTCGTTTAAATGCACATCTTTATTCATCTTTGTATAATGCACAACCTATCGTAAGTATTATGGCCACTAATATTTTAAAAGGTAAGCTGCAATCTAACACTTCACTGTAATGTTACAATAAGTGCAATTCTTCTGCTGTCTATTACCCATAAGAAACCACAAAGATAATAAAGGGCACGATATTTTCTCTAGTTTCTGCTCCAAGGGGATATACTGTCTATTGCATCATGTACACTGATATTGAAAATGATTTTTTTTTTTTCAATTTCGACATTTACTATTATTACTATACCCATTAGTAACCACTGAGGAATTACTTGGTAGTGTATCCTTGGTCTTTATGTGTATACTCAAGACTCCCTAAGCAGAAAATGTTTCTGAGCTTGAAGAATTTTTTTGAGACACAGTTAACAGCTGTATTTAGAACAACATCTGCAATTGAAATCCTTCCCCAGTCCAAAATGTATCCATTGTTTCGTCGAAGTATACTTGAGTTGTGTTTCGGTATTGTTTATAGTAGTTACTAGTTTTGCTGGTTACATTCTAATTTTAGAATATGCTACTCTGTCACCTGTAAATTAGATACATAAATATTATAGTTTCAGATAAAGAAAATTTATTTAGAATGTATAATGCCATTGAGTAATAATTTACTCTTCAAATGAAAAATTATTTTGTATAGTGCACGTTCCTTTCTTCCATCTGGTCTCAGATTTAGATCTGAAGTTCCTCGAGGTGGCCACCTAGCTAGAATACTCCATACATTCTTATTGCAGGGCTACGTCTCTTGCATCCGGATTTAGATTCTGCAGCATCTCAAAGAAATGAAATGTTTTTCATTCAAGGCAAAGGAAGATCTGACAAGCGAAGTTATATTTGTTCAGAAGGTGAGCCCCCCCATACATCCATTTATTTGCCAAGGTGAGTTCCAGCAGTAGAAAATGGATCTATGAAATAGGCAAGACAGCCAGTTTGGATTTGCAAAACATTACTTCCAATCACTGAAATCAAGTGCAGTGTTATCTTAATTTGAGGTATCTTTGTGAAAGTGTGTGAAAACTCCTGACGGATGCTGTGCAGCGTAACTGAGAATAGCTAAAATTTCTTTCTGGATATGCTCCAGGTGCTTTTCTACCAAATTAAGGTTTAATTTTTTATGAAATTAGAAAGCAAATAATTTCTGGAATGTAATTTATAGAATTTAAGTTGCAAAGTTCTGCATATTTTATGAAAAAATAGGGATTATTTTTAACATAATCAAAAATCACCTGAAGCTTTCTGCTTGTTTTTTTTTTTTCTTCTTTTTTTTTCTTTTTTTTTTTTTTTCTTTTTTTCCTTCTGGAGTATTTTCTTCAACTTAGCATTTTTTATGATGTAAATAATTAATTTGACTGAAAGGTATGGTTTTATGGTGCCCTGAAAAGTCTCCGTCTTTTAATGTTTAGTATTTATCTTGCTTTATTAGTTACGTTTATCTGTTTTTAATATGCAAGGACAACTTGTCTGGAGCCTGGTGTCACTGCATAGAGTGGCTTTGCTTTGTACACAGTACATGTGTCAAGTATTATGATAAGGCCATAAAAAAAAAGAAGAGTTTTTTAAGATGAAGTTTTGCAAGTCTTGTTTTTTACTAGCTGAGCAACTTTTTAACATCTTGTATTGACTGAGACTTCTAGATTGTGATTTTCTGAATTACACACTGTACTTTATAAATCCACTTGACAATACCGATGATTTTCGTAACCAAGCACTGTAGAGGAGGTCTTAATCCAGTGGAACACCATGGGATGTTTTTCCCAATTGCAGCTAAATGTACACTAAGGAGCACAGCCGATGTGCACGTGTTGAGCATGCGGCATGCCCTGTCAATACTAACGTACATTGGCTGCTGCCCTGAGACACCCAGCGTGCGTTCAGATTTACTGCATTTCACGCCTATCACCTTTAGTTGTCTGCAAAAGCAAACAAACAAGGTTTGTATCTCAGCAATAAGGTTATGTATGTGCTCAGGAAGCATTTTATCTTGGACCTGTGCCTTTGGCAGTATGTTCCTTACCTCTGAGCACACATTCTATCTTCATTTTCCCCCCACACACCTTTCTGTTTCAGGCCACCGCTCCCTGTTCTTTCTGTACCATCATCTCATCTCCCATTTTAATCAATTGAGTTTAATATGAAGATGGCATGAAGATTTGACTTCTGTAGGAATGCTTTTGCCAGGATTACTAGTGTGCTTAAACTGTGTGTGTTATCTGAAATGTGGGTTATCTGTATGGAAGCGTAATCTGCTTTTTAATTTGTTGTCCTGCAAATACTGATATTTTTATATAAAGATATGTATACAAAGGCAAGCATCACAACTATATTGTTTTTTGTGAGACTTTTTAGTGTGAGTTAAATGCAGATACTGCAAAAAGATTTGCAGACGCAGCCTCTGATTCGAGCTAAAGGATTTGATGCAAGAGGAGGTGCACAGCTATTATTACTCTTGCTAACTAGTTCAGGTATTTCATTCAGTTCCAGCACAATTATGGTTATCTGGCAGATTCTACATACGTAGCAAGTGGCAGTCGCTCGTTAATTAGTCTGTTATCAATAGTATTGATTGGGACATACAGCACAGAAATACCATGTAAAGCGTAGATTTTTCTGTTCCTTCACCCACTGTTAAGCACTGTAATACTGTTTTAGGACTGAAAAGGTACTCTTTGATTCAGCTGTCCTTACTCTGTGACATTTACTAGACTAGACCTAGTAATTTATGGAAACCTAGAGAATCAGCACATCTCTTTATTGCTTGCTAGAGCTTATCTGACATCCTTGACTTTTGTGTTCTTTTTCTGCTGTTAGGACTTGCAAAATCTATTAAAACTGTAGTCATATTGAAGCTTCGGTTATATTGCAAAATCAGTTGTACCTGTACATTAGTTGGAATATATTTCCCAGGTTGTTGAGTATAAAAAAAAAAAAAAAAAAAAAAAAAAAGGCTGGTTACTTTTACTTCTAAATTCAGTGTTTTAATCTTTTAGCAGAGGTATTTATGAGTTAGTTTGATGAATATTTACTGTGGTTTCCTGTAACCAACTGCTTGTTATTCCTGTGCTTCTGACATATGTAGATCCACCCATGTCTGAAAATGAAGGTGATAACCTCTGTTCTCTCAGTTCTGGCACTTATTTCAAGTGTGGAGTCAGATTTATTTAGTTGAGAAATTGTGCTTTTCAAGACAGAAGAGCTAGTATTTGATCTGAAGCCAAAGATTCTCCATGGAAATTCTGGAATTTTGAGTGTTGGCTCCTGTAATAAAATGCAAGGGACGCAAGGTGTGACCTAGTATTCCTCCTTACAGTTCTATTAGATGTCACTGAAGAAACTGGAGCAAAGAGAAGGCTGGCCCAGAGAGACTGAACACAGGTTCCTTTTGAACAGCCTTAAAACACATAGGTAAGATTCAGGGCTCTGAGCATTTTTTTGTTTACCTCGGGTAAGTTCTGTTGCCTCTGGGAAGGAAGAACCTCACTGCTAGTGATTACTGGTGCATCTGTTGCAAAGCATCCTTCAGCACTATTAAGATCACTCTTCTTTTCCCTTTGAATGATTTCAAAAGTGCTTCTGACAATTGGGAGCTCATGGGATGTGGCAGCTTCCAAGGTATCTGGATCTTTGAAAAGAAAAGGAAGAGGTAAAAAGGAGGTAGGTGGATTGCAGATGGTGGTCATTGACTCACCAGGGTGTAACACAGGTGCTTCCTACACTGCTCGCAAAATTCTGCAATGGTAAGTAAAATAAATATCTGTTTTCTAAAAGGAAATTGACACCAGAAAATTATGGTGCTGTTAGATCTATTTGGCTCTTTGGATAGAATTAAGGAAATTTAAACCACATGAGTATAAGAGATCCAGAGTTTCCATTTAAGTTGTAACTAGACTTCCTGCCTGTGTAATTAGTTTAGAAATCCAATATCCTACCTTTTCATAAATCTAACTCAACTACAACAAAATTGATTTTGTAATGACTATACCCCATGAGGACATGAATGATACATTCATACAATCCTTCTTAATTACAATATCCCATGAAGTGCTAACAGCCCTGCTTTAGATTTCGTGACCGCAGAAAACCAAAAAATGTAATGAAAAAGAAAAGTTTCTTATCAATAAAACCCGCAGAGGGATTGTGACTGAGGAAAATGCTCAGGAAGTATTTCCCCGAGGAAAGCGATTAGAAGAATGTGTTTTGATAAAATGTATTTTGTGTATTAAGTTCCAAGTACAGCCGTCTGGTTAGATGCTGATCTCTGTCTGTTGTCCAGAGGACTTAGAAAGATGGAAAGTACAGCTAGTCCTGTCCTATACCCAGCGCTGAGCCTTTCTCTAAAGGACCTATTTCTTTTCCTGGCACATACAAAGAAAGAAGTAGTACACGATTTCTTATGGACTTTTAGTCCTGCATTTAACTTTTATTTCTATCCTACATTTCTGATATATTTAACAATTCCTATTTTATGACTAATTCCATGCTTCAAATAGGCAGTTGCCGTGAAATATTTTCTTCTGAAACATATTGCAAATTGTTACATTTAAAACTATTTACATTGTCAAGCTAACTGTTCTTCCTTTTTAGGTATCCTATGCACTACATTTTGTAGGCTAATGGATTGATTTTTTTTTTTTATATTGGAATAGAAATTGTGCAGAGGAGCTTATCTGCTTCTGTAAGAGTTGCTTGTAAAAGCGCAATGGCAATGAATGCTAGCAGTATATTTGAAGGGGTTTTGCAGCTCATTGTATGAGAAATCTACGTTACCCCAGGGAAGCCGAGGACCACGACTGAAACAACAAGATCATTTGGCGGTGTAATCAGAATTAAGCAAGACAAAAGAAAAAGCAGCGTGGAAAATTGATTTAAGCAGAACTTTCAGGCTTAAAAGGAGCATGTGGCAGAGTGCATCAAATGTTATCACTTCATTTTATACTTCAGTTTTGGGTTCAGTAACTTGTTTCTGAGCTGGAGGCAAGACAGGGTTTTTTGGTTTTTTTTGCAGCAAGGATCACTGTTCAGAAAGCCTCTGTGACAATCACTGGGTTTTCTTGACCGAAAAAAAGCGTTGAAGCCCAGAACATAAAGTAAGAGCTCAACAATGACAAAATGGGAGAGCATGTGATTCAGCTAATTAGAATAAGCGGCTCATTACTTCACAGAGACCTCGTCACAGCAGGGAAACAGAGCAGGATGCTATTTACCTTGAGTGGAAAAAGTAAACTGTGGCTCACAAGCAGCATTAGGAGGAGACTCTTCCCTGTCTTAATAACGTGTAATAAGAATAGCATGAGAATGTTTACTTCCTTTGGTATGTCAGCGATTATTTGCTAATTATAGCACAAACTAAAATTGTGGGGCTGTGCAACTGCACAACAGAGCATCTGACAAGAAAACAGCATCAGTCTTCTGCAAATGGTCAGTTTTCTTTTGCATGGCAAAGATAAGGAAAAGGCAAAAAGCACCCAGCCTGGGGAGCAGCACCACAAAAGCCTCTTTGGGAAAGTGAGGAGAGGAAAGGAGCTGCGTGTTTGAAGGAGAGCCTGTCTCTGCTTACCCTCTGTTTGGAACAGGAAGCTCTAAAGGGAAGGGTTTGGGATGGTACCTGTGGCTGAAGCTGGCTCCCAGGTGTTCTCTCACACCTCCTTGGGGCTGTTGATAGTGTGGGTGATGGAAAAGGCTGAAGTGGGTCCAAGGATGTGTTTGGTTGGCTTTGTGGTGTCTTGTGCAAGTCTTTCATTCACCGTGCTGGGAAGGAAATTACATGTGCTTGGCCTGGGTTAGTGCTAAGGTGGTAATGGGTTCATGAATTGACTAGGTGATCTTAGCGGTCTTTCCAACTGCAACGATTCTACGATTCTTTGCCTTGCATTGGGAACCAGCCAGAAGCTGAGCACTCCGAGACGGTGTATCTAAGCATTAATCAGGTATGTTGTTTTTTTTCTTCATTCTTAGTGGAATCTGATGTTTTCAAAACTTTTGTGTTTTATCCAAGCCTCTAAGATACGTCACAACTTTATGTACATCTTAATAGTTTTACATTTTAATTGGATTGGTGTGTGTGTGAAAGCAAGCAGTAGCAATTTAAAATGCAACAGGCAGGGTTGTGTGACTGCAACTGCGCCCCAAAGTGCACTAAGAAATCTCTGTAAAGTAGAAGAATAAGGTTTCTGTTAAGGGTTGTTTTCCTATCACATTCAGCTTCCTTCTGTAGGCATGGACAATTGAGTGATGCCAGCAGATTTGTCTCTATAAGTAACGCCTTCCTGCTTATATAGCACTTTTCTTCCCTGCCACAGCTTATTGCTTTTTTTCTTAATTGAATTTGTAAATCTTCTGGGATGGTTTCACACAAACACCCGGTGTTACCGTGCCTCACTTTGAATGGGGCTGTGCGTATTACTGAGGTGCATACTAATAGCAAACGTAAATGTGAGATAGCCCTGAAGGGTAATGATGTCCTGTGTGTTTATGCAAAGGGTGACAAATACTCTACGTATATTCCAGTATTCGATGACACTCATTGATTTTTAGTGTCTTCAGGGAGTGCAAATTGTGAATTTATTTTGGGAGTTTTGTGGAATTGCAAATCTCAGCAGTTATCCTGCAGTTTGGTTGTATATGTCCCGCGTGAGGTTCTCACTGCAGTGATACAAAGAGTCCTTGGATCCTATTGGCAGGGACTCATCTTTGTCAATGGCTTGATACTGGATAGGCTGAGCCTTCCTTGGGTCTTGCAGCAACAGATTTGGAGTATGTGCCATATCTAGCCTCACAGCTCTTGAAGGATGGAAAGTAAAAACAATCTCAACCTCTTCTGGCAATTCAATTTATTACAATTTTGATGAATAAGTAATAGAGTCAGCTTGAGAACATAAAAATAATTGAGTGATACGCATCCACTTTTTCGGCCAAGAAGTTTTTAAATCCATCTGCAGAGCTAACTTTGTCAATAGATGTGTTTCAGCATACACCAGTCTTTGTTCTTCTGTGACTGCCATAGTGTGAGTATGGCACCTGGGAAGGTAAAAGAGCACACCTCAGAAATGCTGTTACAGAAAAAGCTTCTGTATAGTAGTGGTGCAGCTGCTGATTATGGATGCTGCACTGCATTTGCATTTTGTCCCAATTAACCTGCCACCTTCTCTAAATGAAGCTTGTACAAATGTTTCCATGCACGACTACCAAATGTCTCTGCAGCTCAGTGCACTCAACAGAGAGTTGTCTGTTTTATGTCTTCTTTGTTAAGGCACTAAATTGATTATTTATACATTATTAGAGCAAGTGCATCAATTTAATGCTATAATAAAATTGCAGTTGAATGTATTTTAAGATGTGCTAAGTGAAAAAATGTATATAGTTGGATGTTGTTGAATTGTAGCAATGTGAACCGGGCAGAGAGCAAAAAATAGAAGCTGCTCGAGACATGTAATGACTGTGTTAACATTCCTGATAGTAAATTACAAGGTAATTTAGGGGAAAAAAAATACAGCAACAAAAGTGGTTTAAGCAGTTCTAATAATGTCATGAAAGTGAAAAAAACACATCCAAATGGAGGATGGGTACATCTCAGACTATCTAAGTAAATTGGTTACTCAGACTATCAATGTCTCTTTATGCATCTCTAACTATATAGTATAATAGGGGAATTGGCACATGTAACTGTTCAAAGTGATGCAGAGAATTCTAAACTCCACTGGGCAACGAAGGAATGTATCTACACGATTGCAGGCACCACGGATACAAAATCTATTAACAGGGCTGAGGAAAACAAACAAACAAAAAAAACCAACAAGGAATTAGTTGTTGTTTTTCCACAGTTGCTGCTCTGTAAGAAATTCGTGTTGTAGCTAAATTACTGGAAAGGAAATTATGAAGTGGAAGGTTGTACTTAGTAGTGCATTAATAAGAACTAACAGTAGAATTTGTTGGATGATCACCTAGTGAGGCTTATCAGTGAGGAGCCAGAGAGCTGGTGATCTAGTTCTGCTATGGTGTTGCAGTGCCTCTGGATGAAAAGATGACCGTGCTTCCATGTGATATTGTCTGCTGCATTTGAATGTGCTTGCTCTGTGTCTTGGTTCTCCAGAGAACTCTGGGAATTGGGTGTAGAAGACACGACTTGTTCAGAGGCAGTGAAATTGGAAAGGTATCTTTTATTTTGAAGTACTACACCTCTCTTCGGGTAAAGGGCAAAAACCTGGGAAGTGAGACTTCTGAAGAAGGAGTGTATCAACATCTGTGCTGTATTTCTTTCCAAGGGAACAAGACTGTGAACGCTAAGTTTTAGAAAAGGTTTTATTTATTAGCCGTGCCATTTATGTCCAACTGTTGCACTGAGGAAATACCTGTACTAAACACAAGCTTGTAGACAGAAGGTAAGTTATGCTGGATTTGAGAGACGGATTCCAAATCCTGTCTTTATACATGAATGAAAAGGTCAAGTGGCCGGACACCTGGTACACAAATAAGTCATCCAGGCCTGTTAGTCACTGGGCTTTCAAATGGCAATCTGTTGAAAGGCTGCAAGAAGAGCAGCAAATTAACATGAGTCAATGGCACCATTCAGTGCTGTCAGAACTTGAGTCTACAGTGTGGGTACCCAAAGATCTTGATCTCTGGATTAAAGCTGAAGCCTGGGATAAGGGGGCTCCAATGCATTAAGTACGCTAGAAGAAGATCTGCAAGCCAAGGAGTCTTCTTTGAAATGTAGTGTTGTTTGTCTGCCAAAAAAAAAAACACCCAAAAAACAAAAAAAAACACCCTTATTTCTCCATGGATGACAGTAGTGATAGTCCTTCTGGGGGAAATAACCCTGTGCCGAGTTCAAGATGCCATAGTTTTACACACTGTTCATAAATTTCCCTTTTACCCAAAGCACTCTTATTTTAATCCTCGTTTCTTTCTTGTACGTAAAATGTGCATAACACTCCCCTGTTGTTTGCTCCTTTTTTTTTTTTGCCACGAGTATTTTCATTTTGCAGCTTTGCAGCACTCTCACCTCTTGCTAAATAGCTGAGAAAATGCTTAGGAGTTGTTAATTCCACCCACCTCCCTACCACTGCCCCTTCCCAGTTTACTCCCTCTATTTTAATTGATTTGATATTTGCATTTTTGTTTACTGTGCATCCTCCTTCTTTTCAGGCAGATGAAGCTGTTACGTTTATGGGGGAAAGCATTTTCACAAAGTTTTTCAAAAGAACGTGATTAAATGGAACTTCTCATTCCCTCCACATGAATGAAATCATGCTTTATTATACATCTCAGAATGCCTATAACATCAGACCAAAATTCTGCTGGAGGTGATAAATAGCAAAAACTATTTTTTATGGCAAAGTGTAGTACCCAAAGAAAAATATCCAGAGAATTGGCCTGTTCTGCTCCTCCTCTTCCCTCCTGCACATACTCTCTCCCTTTGTCCTTTATAAACAGAACTCCTTAACCTGTTACAATGCAAAGAGTATGTAACAGAAAGGTGCGTGGTGAGTAATTTGGAAAAGAGAGAATCTGATAATTTTGTGGGTTTTTTTTCTTCAGCAATTAGTTTAGAAAAAAAAAGCCAACAGAACTCAGAAAGCATTAATGTTAACGCTTCTCAATATGATTGCACTCAAAGCACATTCAAGCAGAAATTATCTCTTCCTCACTGATTGCCTTGACAGCTTGGCAATTGCATTTCTTCATGTTAATAACAGCTAGGTCTCCTTTTTGAGTCTCTTTTTCAGCAAGACAGCAAACCTTATAGAAGTAATAGGAGATACATGCAAATCCTTGTCCTCCCACTCCTCTGTTAACCTCACTGAGCATTGTGCCCACGTGTTCCGCTGGGATGGTCAGCAGCAGCCCAGGTCCGTGCTGGTGGTTCAAGCATGAGTCCTGCTACACGGTGCTATAGGAAGTCTTGTAGCAACTCTAGGGATAAATGAGCCCTGTGCAGTCAGTGAGTTTCTTTCACCTTCAGTGGATTTAGATCAGGCTTGTCCTGCTCTAAAAAAAAAAATAATCTACCTGCTATATGTTTTTTCTCAGAGTCTGAATGTGCTAGAGGCGGCAGAGGTTTGGGATTTTAGTGTGCTGCACTTGAGTGGAGCTTGGGCAAACTCAGATGGGGACTTTGGATGTTGATGGGCACTATATTCTCTCTCACTGCAAATGCTTGATGTGGGATCATAGTTTCTGATGTGGCTCATTCTCACTTTGGAATGGGGGAGATCTCTTCTGCTGTGTGCTAGGCGTGCTCTTTCTGCTGGAGTGGGAATACAAGTCTCATTTACCTAATTGCAAATAACCTCTCTGTAGTTAAATGGTGAGGGTTCAAGCCTACATTTGAAACAGACTGTCCAGGGAGGTGGTGGAGTCACCATCCGTGGAGGTGTTCAACAACCGTGGAGATGTGTCACTGAGAGACATGGCTATTGGACTTGGAGGGGATGAGTTGGGGTTGCAGTTGGACTTGGGGATCTTTAACGGTCTTTTCCAACCTTAATGATTCTGTGATTCTATGACAAAGGTACTGTATCCTGTGAATTGGAAAACAGAGCTCAGCTTGGAAGAGCGGAGAGCTTACAGTATGTACTTGTGAGTATGTCGCATTTATTTTTGACATTTTACATCATAAAGCACTGAGAACCTTACCACTAGGACTTCTGTTTGCCAGCCTACAAAACAAAGCATGGACATTCAGTGCTGTTAAAAAGTTCACCCATAAATAAATAAATAAATAAATAAATAAATAAATAAATAAGAGTAATTTATTTACCTTAAGTACTTAGGGGTATGTAAATTCACCAGAGCTACTTAAGCTGTACTTACAGTGTTTTTGTTCGGACCAGGGCAAAGGGATCAAGCAAAATAAGCCGTCAGTACTCTATGCATGATTAAATAATTATTTGTATTGATTCTAGAACATTTATTTTCAGCAGAAGTGTGGTGCGTTACCGCTGCTGATTGCACTCTGTTTTATCAAGGTGTGGGAATAAGAAGCCTGCAAAGTATACTGCTGTCTTGCTGTTCACACTGTTCGTGCTGTCTTGGATGGCTGGTGAAACTGGGGTGTGGGGTAGGCGTGAAACACACTGGGGTTTTCTCCTGATTGATGGCCTTTCTCACTAGCGCTGTGTGGAGCAGCAAATGTCTGGCAGGAGATGAGAAAGAACAATAAACAGATATCACGGAAAGTAAGTAACCCAGAAAATAAGGTTTCTGGGCAAAATATTCTTTGCCTTCAGTGTCTGCAGCATTTCATCCAGTGTCTTTCATGGCTACTCTTTTTTTTAATGTCTTGTTTTGAAAATATACCGTAGGGTCGCTGGGATGGAAAAGTAACTGCCTAATTTCTTCTCTTCTTCCTACTGTTGTCTCCCTCCCTACTCCTGTTTACTAGTGAGAAGCACGTTCCTTTTTGTTTCACATTACTATCCTGATGGGGCAGGTAGGTTGTGGTTAACTCTATCAAATAGCTTTGATTTTCCATTTCTACCCCCCTCTAAATGTAGCTCTTGCAGGTGGGACGTGACCAGGAGGAATAATCAGGACTGTGAATGCCTAAATGCTGCCAAAAAAGGGCCTGCTCTCTTCTCATTACCCATGGTAGATGGGACTTTTAATTGGCATCTCCAATGCTGCACACTTCCAAAAGTCTCACAGGCTGTTTAAATGAATTCATTTCAATTACACTGCAATGTAAAAAGAGATTTTTGGCTCTAATCAGCTACTGTTTTTAAGCAGATTTGCTGGGAACAAAATATCTCCCTCTTTTGCACATATAGGGTTGCTGGCACCTACCTGGTGTGAAAAGACATGGGACATCAGGAGATGAGACTTCACCGAAGGGGATATCTGCTGTCTGTGATATACTGGGCATGTGGCTGCTTTTGTGCTTCAAATCTCTAATTTTAAAAGTAAGCATTGAAAAATTATTATTATTATTTTTAAATTATTTTTTTTTGAGGAAAGGCATGGCTCTATAAAGAAGGCGATCGTTCCTGATCTGGCAGAGAAATTGTGAGAAAATTGATCTGCGAGGTCTCAGTATGTGTAATAACATGAAGTTCCTGTCCTATTCTGGGCAGGCGGAGGATTGAGTTGTTATTTGTGAGGATGCTTTAGAATGAGAAGGTAAGAATTCTCTGGATTTATAGTGATAAACAGATATTTTGTCTTCAGAGCTTGAGAAACCCCCTTTCTTTGCTATTTATATGTAAAACTGCAGTTTTACATAGAGTAAGAGATGTTGCCTCTTCAAGAGATTGATGACCTAGGTTGTTGGTATGAAAAAATAAGTAAGATTTTTTTGATCTGTTCATCCTTATGCTTTCCTCAGTGACATCCCTGCTGCCTCTTTAGAAAGCGTCTCTTGATGAACACATTTGTTGTTTTTTTTTTTCTCCTGCTGTTGATAGCTCTGTTTTCTGCCAAAAGAATATTTTCAGGAAATACTCTTGTATAATATTTTATGATCTTTATCCTGATGAAAACTAATGAGATACACGAATGCTCTCTCATTTGCATTTGATGGGCATTTGAAACTTGTAGCCTCCCGCTGGATTCATTTACAGTTTCCCCCCAGCAATCAAAACCATAAGCCAAATTCCCTGGGAATTACGACCACTCTGTACTATGCGGTTGCCATAATCTTGTCCTAAACAAGATTAGCTTTCATGGGCCATCTGCATGGATTTGCCAGAGCCACAGGGGCTCAAGATAAGCTACTACTCTTCTTATGACAGTGATCATTCAAGGAAAGCAAAGCAGCTGGAATACTGGTGAGGCTGTGCTGGTTTCCAGCACATTGGCAGCATTGGCAGCCCCTACAGGGCTCTGTGTCCCACAATGCTGGAGTGATACTCACACAGAGGCAGAGGGAGATCAGAAAGAGGATTTCTTCTGTCTGTAATGACTTCTGTCATCCTCATGCCCAATGACTTGGAGTTGTTTGTAATTTTAAAAGATTTGGGGCTAAAAAGAAGCCAGGGATGCCTAGTTTAGCGTTAAAATTCTAAGAAAGATATCTGAAGAAATAGGAAAGACAGAAAGAGGTTTAATATCACATTTTCTTAAAATCAGCCAGATACTAAAAGTTTTTGCTCTTAAAATCAGATTTCAAATTTTATACATATATACACATTTTGTACCCTGTACTTCATAAAGGATAAAGAGCAAAAGCATTATTTTTGCTCAGATCAGATATCAGATATCAGGAATAAGTTATCTAAAAGCCCTTTTAAAAGCATTCAGCTTTGGCGCTGATGAAAGGCAATGCTGCCAAAGAAATGTTCCTCTATATTGCTCTAACTGAAATAATGATAAAAGAAGGTGCTCAGGAATATGTAGCGTTATTTACAGATGCTTTAAACACAAGCGGAACTGTGGGTGCTGTGCAGCAGAAATGGTTTGCGGCAGCAAAGATGTTGGAGCTGCTTCTGATCCTGGCAAAACTAATGCTTAAGTATACTTGGTCTTCTCCGGGAGCACTTTGGCCAGTAGTCTTAAAGCTCCCATGGTGAGACAAATGGTCTGTACGATGGCCTCTGAAGCAGCAGCAGCCCTAAACTAGCATGCCTCGGCTGTCAAATTGGTTCGTCGGGGCAGTTTGTAATTAAAGGCACAGAAAATGGGCTCACGGTTACATTTTGCATGGCCTGTTGTCCTTTCCAGAGCTTCACAAGAACAAGCCAACCACCTTTCTACTGAAATATATATATATAATATATATATATAATCTTATAATATTTAAATTCAATTAAAAAAATATATAAATATATATATATAAAATATATAATGTCCCCAGCAATAAACCATGCAGTTGCCAAACTGAAGAAGATAACAAGCTAAAACTTCACAGAAAGCGCATCTGTGTGAGCTCTGAATTTGTGCTCACAGACGAAGTGGGACTGAAGCCTGCCATAGAGTATAGAAATAATCCTTTTGATGAGTGGGTAACGTAGACTGCCTCCATAAAAGTGAAAAGATGTTGAAAAATGACTGCCTTTAGATATGTATTTATACACATCAGAAGAAAGAAATGAATTTCATGAGAGGTACTTTAAAGAAAATGGAAGTTTGTATTTTGTAGCCTGTAAGACAAAAGCATGCCAGTTAATGCTACTCTCAGACAGATGATAGTAAATCTAGGAGTCTCATTAATGGATTAAAGTGAAAAATACAAGTGGGATTAAGACAGTAAAAAAAGTCATTAACAAATCTAATGAATTTTTCAACCATGGGAGAGCAGTTCTTCATGTCTGTGCCTTGAGTAAATTCTCCAGCTTCTTACAGAAATTCAAGGCATGATTATAAAACTCATTATTTTTGCCCTCAGCTTTTAAGAGAAAGACCTCACTGTAGAAGTAGCGGAAATCACTACATTTTGTTATTGGTTTCCTAATTCATGACAGTTTGTGGCTGAGGTTAGTCTGTTTGAAGATAATACCCTAGCCCAAGGTCTACACGAATGATTTAAAATAAGTCACTTGATCGATTTCATAGAATCTGTAGAATCGTAGACTTGTTTCAGTTGGAAGGGACCTTTAAAGGTCACCTAATCCAACTCTTCCATCGTGAACAGGGACTTGCACAGCACTAGAATGTAATCGTGGCTTTCAGCGCGTAATAGAAGTCTTCGGTTCTTTTAAATTTCAGGAGGATTCTTACATTGAAGAGCTGTAATCTGCGGTGAAATGCTTGGGCTTCAAAATCCGCTCCTATCCTTAAATGGCAGCTAAGGGTGCCTCAAGAGCCAGTTTGCCCAGTGCTCGACTTAGGAACTTGTATCTGGCATCGATTCCTGTAAGTATAAGCAGGTGATGAATCTGAAAATGCCTGCCAGAACTGGAAAGTGAGCACGCTAGAGGCAACCGAACCTCAGGCAGACAAGGTGGATGTAGTAACAAACAAACTCCTGGTTTCCTCTGTAGAGTCATCCCCAGAGGCTCGCATCTCAGACTGTATCCAGTGAGAAGAGCATAAAACAGTAAATAAGGTATTTTTAAATAAGGTTTTAGATAACATTAGGAACCTCGGTAAGAAAAAAGTTTGTCTGCGTGGAGAAAATCAAATCCCGTCCTAACAAGTGCATCTCTGGTCCCTCGCACATCCAGGCTTTGCTCTTTTCTTCATATGCACCCTTGGGGAGTCTTGTGAATTAGAAGTATTTTCTTTATTCTCCTGGCTCATTTAAAATATTCTCTCAAGCAGTTAATAATGTGTATTTGTTTTTGTTTTGACAATTCCAGTTTATAACATTTGAATACTTTAGAGGACGGGTAAAGCTTTCCTCAGCAGAGTCAATAATGGAAACATAATAGCATAAATTAAATGAGATGTGGAAAGCTTATTTTTTGTTTTGTGAAACTTCATTTGCAATGGCTGACTTAGTTCATTTTGGATGTTGATAGAATGTCTTATTCAATCTTTGAAACAAAACGCAATACATTTTTTCTCATTTATCAGAAGCGTCTGTTGCAATATTCAACACTAGTTTCGGTGGAAGATGCTGCTGTCAAAGGGAAAAGCTCAAGGTAAGTTTCTCGTTTGACTTTGGTTTGCATTACATGTGTGTCTATGGCCATCTGTGGAATAACTCTGGATTTCTACTGTAACCCATACAGTAAGCCTGCAGTGATTCTACTTGCAGATGTCATACGACCTTGTGAGCACTTTATCACGGTGAAATGATTACTGCATATGCAAGTACTGCTTCCCAGAGGACTTCCAAATAGGCTGGTTAGGTCCACATGCTGAGGTGCAGGCTCCTTGGTTTGCTCGGCGTTCGGCTTTTCTGTATTGTTTTCTTTTGGCTTCTTGTAGATCAAGTACTCCTGAAAAGTTCCTTTTATCAGTATTCTGGCAAAATCACTGATTAGCTGCTGCACCGAAGCATGCCTAAGCACATATTTCAGGAATTGACACGCTTTAATTCCGCTGGCAGATTCGCAGTTTATCTGTATAGTTTGAATGTGGCATAGCTTGCTTTTGCATAAACACCAACGCATGCTTTTTTTGTTGTTGTTGTTTGTTGTTGTTTTTTTATTATTATTTTTGAAGTTGTCCCAGATTCCTGAGAACTTCACCTTTAACTTATCCTTACAGACTTTACAGAGTGATGCTGTTTAAATTCTTATGTGCGGTAGGCTGTTTCTTTTTGAAATATCCCAAAATTGTATTATCTCACAGCGGAGAAAAAAGGAGAAGGAGAAATTTCATAGTTGTGCATATTTTGTCGCATCTTCCCTAATTTAGCGGTTGGTGGCTGCCAGCTGTCGGGGACTCAGTGAATAATACATAGAAATAAGTGATCCAGAGGAATACAAATTCCCTGTTTCCTAGGAAGATCCAAGCGTAGATCACAGTCTTTTAACTCAAACTCAATATTTTTCACTGATTTTCTTTTCCCATCCGGGGTGGTTAATGGAAATAAAAGCAAGTCATAGTATAGTGCTCAGCCACGAGCCCTGAAATAAGTTTTTGATAGCTCATTGGAGATAAGTGCAAACGTGCCAAGTTGAAGGAACCTGGCCCTAGAGGTGTAGTCCGTAAGCACAGTCACAATAATGAATTCATGCATACAAAGTAAGTATGTGAAATGCACACAGTCGTAAGGAAAACTTGGTCACTCGTGTGTTCCTGGCAAACAAATACCGATATGTTGTCCCAAATTGATTTGCGTATTCAAGAGCAGATCGATGAGTGACGTTTTGCATTTTCCTCACCTCTAGGACTGACAAAACTATCCCTCAGGACACTGTGTCAGAGATGTAGAATGAAGCATCTATGCTTTGGGATTCGTCTGTAAGGCCCAGGAGACCGCCACAGCTCTGTTACGGAGACCGGTGTCAGGTAAAGTGTTGGCACACAGGGCTGCGAGTGTTCCTGAAGCACGGGCTATTTCCAACAGGATAAATCTCCTCCTATGATGTGAAGTCACCATACTGCGCGTCGACTCAAGGAGAATCAGGCAAACCACCGGTAAGTGCTGACTGGTTTAGACTGCTTTAGACTGCAGGGTGTGATGTCTCGTGCGTAACAGAAGTGAGCTGTGGCCTTTCTAATTCTAATATGTGAGGATGTGAGGAGGTATTTGAGGTGTCATTCGCCCACTGCAGTCCCACTTCCAGCTCTGAGCTGCTTTGTGTTGCGCGTAAGTCCCGCAGCGTTGCCTTGCGCTCTCGTCTTCCTGAGATGGGTGGGATCCTACAGGGAGTCATTACAGAACATTAGGCTTTTGCCTGAAAAACAAATAGAGTGTTGGTGCATGTATTACAGAAATAAATTTCCTGGCTTAACATCCTTGAAATTCATTTATGCTAAAAATTTCGGCTCATCCGTTGCCTGGATATGGCTGAAGCCTCTAGAACAGACCACATGGAGAGAAGTAGAAATACTAGTTCAGCAAAAGGCACCCAACAAAGTCTGGCTGGAAGGAGAAGCGTGGAGGCACGGGAATCAGAGGCAGTCCTGCATGGCAGCCTGGCCTCTCCCAGGGTTCTCCTTCTGCCAGCAGAGTGCCCATGGCTTTGCGGTGGTCTTCTGTTTCTCAGTGCATTGTCCGAGTCTCCGTGTATTTTCTTTGCGTGGGCTGTCATCTAGTCGATGCCTTTATCTCAGGATAAATGAGAGTGGCATCTGCCCTCTCATTCAGTTTGCACTGCCGGCCACACTTTGCAGTGCACAGAGACGCTTGTAAACAAGGAGCAGGTTAGGGGAACAGCTTAGAGTTGAAGTGGAATAAGCTTACAGCTTTAGAGAGGTGTTATCGTGTATTTCTCCTTGCCTCTCATTGTAGTATACAATAGCCACAATACTGTAGCTTTCAGCAAACGATAGCGACAGAAATAAGTGCCGTGACTTGTATCAAACGGTTCTGTAGTAACATCCCACCGTCTTCCCTGGAGATCTAGAGTAATAGTCTCGGTGTGGCAAAGGCCACTTACATTTCTCTTCTTGACGTGTCCCTCGGCTCCCTGTTTGCTTGAATGCAACCACCTGCCCAGGGTCCGTGCAGCTCGTTTACTGCCGGTGTAATAGGAATGCTAGGCCATGGAGCCACAGTGCAGTGTTATCTCCTTTCCCTGGGATAACAATAAGCCCTGTTCGTTTGCGGGTAAGATTCAACCATATCGCACGAAAAAGCAGGAAACGTGAAAATGTTTTCCTCAAGCATTTTCCATCTCTGTCCCCTTGCCTCGCCTTCGGTACCCATCCGTCCTCTTCTGTGAGGAAAATGATCACTTCAACAGTAGTGGCGTTAAAGTGTCGGTCACGCTATAGAAAAATAAGAGAAGCCGAGGCTTAGGAGTCAGAGATATTTCACAACACTTCTTCAGGCTGCACAATAGACGTGTTAGGAAAGGCAAGAACGTACTGGACAGAGGCTGCTTTTCTGCTAAGACTGCATGAAGTCACCACTGAATGTGGGGACTGATTAGAGAATTCGAAGCACCGTCCATCGTGTCAGAGCGAGGGCAAAGGGCCGCGTTCTGAGCAGGCTGCTTTGTGTGGCAGCTGACAATGGGCAGAGCTTTCTGAGATGTGAGGTGGATTTACAGGAATTCAGATGTTACGGTCATATAGCTGTTCCCCACTGTGTTAATTCCACCTATGGTTTCTCTACTCAAACTGAAATTCTCTTTTTCTCTCAATAACAAGGTCACTGTCATTTCCACCCCTCTAAAAGCAAATAATGTATGCAATGGTGGAAATAAATCAAATTTAACAAGCTGACTTTGCTGCTGCCGCTGTCCACATTACATTGTGTTGCACAGCGGCGCCCTCTGAACAGCTACCACCGCTCGGTTCACCGTGAGCCATACACGAATTGAAAGTCATGTCGAGAGCTAACTTCGGCAACTTCTTTTTCAGCTTCTTATTTTTGCTGGTTCCAAATGAATATCACCTTCTGCCCCTGTGGCATTGATCCCTTTTTGCTAAAACTGACCCAACAAATTTATTAGAAAAAGGCAGACGGTATTACTGCTAAATTACATTACATTATCTTGTTCAGTTACATTAAGTTGTTACCTTATGTTACCTTCGGTAGTAACGCTCATGTGGCAATGAGCAGTACACGGGGATCGTAAACCTCCTGTGAGAATGAGAACTCGGCCGTGCGTTTGTTCATAACTGTTATTAGTTAGGCAGAATAGCACGGAAGAGGTAATTCCGTGGAGGTTAAAAGGACTGTCACGCTGTGAACAGTCAGTGAGTTTGGATTAGGATTGTGGCAATAAGTACGACGATACCTGCTCACGTGCCAAAGTTTAGGTAAAGGGCACCAGTGTCTTGATGGATAGTTGAGAGCAGTCATTCCTTGACAAAGGTCACTGGTGAGATGGCCGAGTACTGTAGCATTAGGCTGAGGTTCTTTTTACAGAGGTTCAATTCCTGTTATTGACCGTGCAGTGAAATTCATGTTGAGTTACAAGCTCAACGATTCACAGAGGCATGCCAGGGTCTCATAGGCAGAAGCCAGAAACAAAGGCGGTTAGCTTTTAAGCTAAGACTCACCTGCGAAGGATGGGCTTTAATTTACTGGGAGAGTCTGCTTTGCATTTGGAAGGTACAGATAAGTGTCCTATTAGTCATAGCACTCTGCAAAAACCAAAAGAGTTTAGCTTTTATTTAAGGCATTGGTGGCTTCCACTTTCTGTATTCTGCGTCCTAGATTTCTAGGTTGTGGTGAGAATTGTGGGATTGTGAGGCAAAGGTAGATGGTGTTTGAGTATTTACCGGTATACCGTAGCTTCACGCGATTGGAAGAGTTGAGAGCAAGCCTCGCTGAGTGATACGTGAGGCAGTGTTAAAAGGAGAGGCTGCATAGTGATGATTGTGGCTGCTGGGGTTATTAGTCGTTCAGTAAGCTCCTGGGTGCTGAGTAATTTAGGTCCAAAGGCGGTCGGCGGTTGGAGGCCCGCTAGGGAGAGCAACGTCAGCAGTAGGCTCGCATTTGGCATTGGGGTTTTTGTTAGCGAGATTGTCCATAATTGTAGGATGTTGTCTAAGGATGGGAGTATAGATGTCATTACGATAGACTGGTTAGAAGGTGAGGAGGGTGAGTTTAGGATTCTAAAGGATGATTACAGCCCTTCAGCAGAGGTGGGAAATAGGTGAGAAAGCTAGAATCTTCTGCCGTCAAGGTAATAGCTGGGATGTTAAGGAGATTGGTGTCAGGTGATCGGGATGTCAGTAAGAGGAGAGTGAATTTGGAGAATTTTATTAGCGGCAAGGGCAGCAAGGCAGCAGTCCGGGATGTTCCTTGAAATGGTTTTGGAAATCCAAAGTGGAATGGAAGTAAGTCTAGTTGATGGCAATTGCTCTTGCTGATAGGAGCCTTGCGGTAGGGTAGCTTAGTTGCGTGATGTCCTGTTGGCCAGTGACCCAGGCATTGATTACGTTCAAAGAGAATAAGGTCCGTTGAGGCCGATCGGGTGAGGAAACTTTTGGCCGTGACTTCAATTGCTCACAGGTGATGCGATTTGGAAGTGAGCGAGGTGACGGTTAGGCTGGCTGTTTCAGGCCACTACCCGACTGCGGCTTGAAACTGTGATAGTAGTTCTTATGATTAGGCTTAGGATTGTGATTAATTTGGCATGTGGGCTCTTCAGCGGGGGAAGGGGTTGAGCCATCACTTCTGGGTACAGTCTCCCCCCATGTAGCTTAATTAGCTGAGCCTACTGGAAAATGACATAAGAGTACAAAGAGTTGTGTAAGTTCGGTTCTTTTCCACATTTTTCTTAGGAAATGAGAAAGCTGTTGTACCTCTATATTCACTTTATCGTAGCGCACCTTTACGTTCAGATGCATTTCTTTAGATAAGGAGGTAGGCCGGCATAGCAGACCGGCATGCTGGCAGGCCAAAAGTCCATACCTAGCGTTGCGGGCAGGATGTTTTTTCATAGAAGGTGCATCAATCGGTCATAGCGGACATATGGATGTGGGACTTGGAGTCGTACAAATACCGAAGACAAAAGTAGCATTTTTGTGGGTATTGCGATCAAGAATAGTTCAGAAGGGTGGTTTTAAGGAGCTTGGATTTAGGGTTTTATGGTTACTGCCTTTATTAATGCAATATTTGTCTACTTGGCTAGGAATTATTGTGAGGAGTCGTGAGAAGAAAATAAGGTAGAGGGTCTCGGGTGATGGCTAGAACGCTTAGGGTATAGTTTTCACTGAGTACAGCTAAAGAGAGCAGGATGGGTAGAGCGATTTCACAGGTGATAGCTTGTGCGGCTCCTCCAAGTTCTCTGATTAGCGCATATTTTGAGTTTGAGGCCCATCTTGATCAGAGGAACGACCAGAAGGCCAGAGAGAAGGTCCGGTTTTAGGACAGAAGGGGAGAATGGTAACAAAACAGGGATTCAAACGTTGAGGGCTAGGAGGGAGGGCTGGGATAAGGGTTACGAAGAAGATGAAAGGGAAGAAGATGGACAGACAGATAGTTTAAGTCCATCTGCAGCTGGTTACAGTAGTCCAAGGGGGCCTACGATGTTTGAAGCTATAGGGGCTTCTGCGTAGCTTAGGACTTTTGGTTTTCTAATGGTAGGAAGGCTGCGGTGACTCGGATGGAAAGTCTTCTGCATTTGCTGAGCTCTGCCACGCTATCTCGAACTTTTCCTAGGATTTCGCGTGGCGGCGTTAGATGGCAGGAGTGCTTGGAGTATTGGCCCCATTTCTGCGGTCCTTTTATACTTGGAGAAGTATACCACAGAAAACAACCCGGATTATTCCGGTGTCTGATCAGATCACATAGGACTGTTAATGGTTGAACAACCTAATCCTTAATAGGGTGTCCTGATCTCACACTGAGGTCATAAAATGGAATCGCGTGTGTTTTTGTACTTGAAATGTATAGGTTTCAGCACGCTTGCTGCAGATGGCTGCTTTAGAGCCCGCAAGGGCCACGGGGTGGACTGTTACCCGGTAGCACAGGCTGTGTTCTTTTTCAAGGAATCTGTACCTCCCTTAAACAGCACGTCCTGATTTTGTCACGCAGCAGTTGGCCAAAGTTTACAGGAGGGAGACTTAAGGGGAACTTTGATTGATTCTGCAGGCAACCGGGTATCACCTGTCTATCTCGGCCTGCTTTTCACCTCTACATACAGGTCTTCCCACTCTTCTACAACATAGACAGGTTTGCTCTCAATGGCTGCTTGTAAGTTTGCTTGCATTTCATTACAGAAAACTGCAGTTTGGCTTGGTTGTTCTCAGCGAATCATGAACAAGAAGTATAGGCGTTACTATTTTTTTTTCTTCGCTGCTCTTATTGTTTCATCTTTCCCTGTTTTGGGAACAGTATCTTTTCTATCAGCTAGACAAGGTTTGAATGTTGTAATCTGGTGAAATACTGAGTTCTTTACAGCTAGACAAGGTTTGAATGTTTTAGTCTGGTGAAATACTGAGTTCTTCACTGTCTCAGCAGTGAGCGCCGGTTGGGCTAGAGGAGGGAGAGGGCTTTCAAAATAACCTGGTGTGTGGCAGATATATTTCAGGTATAATCTGCCCACACTGCGGTTTGTTAGAACTCACTCACCTCATATTCAGTTCTTTGGCTGTGTTGTTTATGTAGATAGGTTGCTTGCAATGATGACAACAGGCAGAATGTACGTACCCCAGAGCAAACTTAATTAAAGCGGGCTATGACACCCTGGTTAACTGTTAAGTCAGTCCTCCTGTAAAGACAGTTTTATACCTTTATTCGTGGGCACTCTTTGCTGGAAAACGTTGCTCATTTTATCCATCCTGTGAGTTATACCTTTACTTGTAATATTGTGTTAGCAGAGCAGCTATCAAACCCACCATCATACCCTCAGGGCAGGCGGTCTGGCAACAGCAGCGTGCATACCGCGTGGACAAGATGCGGCTGCGCGAAGGACAGATCATCAGTTTCAGAACAGGCTCCTCTAGGTAGATTCTGGATACTGCCAAATCAGTAGTTATTGTACTGATATGTGTTAGGCAGATTTTTTTGGCATGGAAAGATGTAGCTAATCCCAGTTTGCATCCTGGCTGTCACAGGTTGAAATTTTTCACGTCTGCAAAGATGATTGTGAGGGTCGGTTTAAGTGCATCTTGAGACGATGACAACTTAGTTGTGTTTTGATGTTTGTCATTGTATGATTTAAGCAGTCTTCTTGCTGAGTAGGAAATTAATTTTGGTTTGTGGTGTGACCACAATGGCCGACCCAGCATTTACCCACATCACTAAGAAGAGGAAATGTCACGATCGCATTCAAAAGCAGTAAGTGAGTATTCTACTACCAGATGCTTTGCGAAGCGCAGCCTGACGGGGGTTAGGAATGCCACGGGCCAGATGTAAGAACGAGAAACTCTGAAGTGGTAGATGGGCCCGAAGCTGGTCATTCCAAACATGACATGAAAGGTTCGTTGAGTTCACGTGACATGTACGATCAATCAAGCCCTCAGGTACGTCCAGTATAACAACTGCAAAAGAGTGGGACAGAGGTTGTAGAAGTAAGTACTGTGACCATTAACAGTTAGGTGATTAGTTAGTAGTTATCAGTGACATTATAGTTGCAGTAATTGTATTAAGTGTTCAAACATTTATCTATACCAGGCTGGAAGAAATGTCACTAAAGAAGGGACCTGAAAGACATGCACTTAGGGAGAGGGTTACATTTACTTGAAAGTAGTAATACTACTACTACTGATATTAATAATAATAATAAATTGTAATAAATTAATTTCCCTAGTTAGTTGAGAACAGCCATGACTTTTCAAACCATGTTCCTTGGAACATAACCAAGTGGCAATGTATGAGGGACTAAACATTTTAGTGTTGTTTTTTTTCCCCCCCACATTAGGTACTTTGGGTGTTGTACTGCAAGTTGTGAGTTTGGTACTGGAGCCTGTGACTGTGTGTGGGTGGTTGAATAATGTATTCAGCAGCACCTTGTATATCTTCAGTGTTGTTTTTATTTATTTTTATTTGTTCTTATTGCCTTTAACAGCCGATCCATTTTTGGCTTGCCCTCCTGGGCAGGGCGCCTTGGCGCACACTGGACTGGGGGGGGACAGGCAGAGTGGGTGAGTGAGTGAGTGGGGCGCCTTTGCGCCTTGGCGCACACTGGACTGGGGGGGGACAGGCAGAGTGGGTGAGTGAGTGAGTGGGGCGCCTTTGCGCCTTGGCGCACACTGGACTGGGGGGGGACAGGCAGAGTGGGTGAGTGAGTGAGTGGGGCGCCTTTGCGCCTTGGCGCACACTGGACTGGGGGGGGACAGGCAGAGTGGGTGAGTGAGTGAGTGGGGCGCCTTTGCGCCTTGGCGCACACTGGACTGGGGGGGGACAGGCAGAGTGGGTGAGTGAGTGAGTGGGGCGCCTTTGCGCCTTGGCGCACACTGGACTGGGGGGGGACAGGCAGAGTGGGTGAGTGAGTGAGTGGGGCGCCTTTGCGCCTTGGCGCACACTGGACTGGGGGGGGACAGGCAGAGTGGGTGAGTGAGTGAGTGGGGCGCCTTTGCGCCTTGGCGCACACTGGACTGGGGGGGGACAGGCAGAGTGGGTGAGTGAGTGAGTGGGGCGCCTTTGCGCCTTGGCGCACACTGGACTGGGGGGGGACAGGCAGAGTGGGTGAGTGAGTGAGTGGGGCGCCTTTGCGCCTTGGCGCACACTGGACTGGGGGGGGACAGGCAGAGTGGGTGAGTGAGTGAGTGGGGCGCCTTTGCGCCTTGGCGCACACTGGACTGGGGGGGGACAGGCAGAGTGGGTGAGTGAGTGAGTGGGGCGCCTTTGCGCCTTGGCGCACACTGGACTGGGGGGGGACAGGCAGAGTGGGTGAGTGAGTGAGTGGGGCGCCTTTGCGCCTTGGCGCACACTGGACTGGGGGGGGACAGGCAGAGTGGGTGAGTGAGTGAGTGGGGCGCCTTTGCGCCTTGGCGCACACTGGACTGGGGGGGGACAGGCAGAGTGGGTGAGTGAGTGAGTGGGGCGCCTTTGCGCCTTGGCGCACACTGGACTGGGGGGGGACAGGCAGAGTGGGTGAGTGAGTGAGTGGGGCGCCTTTGCGCCTTGGCGCACACTGGACTGGGGGGGGACAGGCAGAGTGGGTGAGTGAGTGAGTGGGGCGCCTTTGCGCCTTGGCGCACACTGGACTGGGGGGGGACAGGCAGAGTGGGTGAGTGAGTGAGTGGGGCGCCTTTGCGCCTTGGCGCACACTGGACTGGGGGGGGACAGGCAGAGTGGGTGAGTGAGTGAGTGGGGCGCCTTTGCGCCTTGGCGCACACTGGACTGGGGGGGGACAGGCAGAGTGGGTGAGTGAGTGAGTGGGGCGCCTTTGCGCCTTGGCGCACACTGGACTGGGGGGGGACAGGCAGAGTGGGTGAGTGAGTGAGTGGGGCGCCTTTGCGCCTTGGCGCACACTGGACTGGGGGGGGACAGGCAGAGTGGGTGAGTGAGTGAGTGGGGCGCCTTTGCGCCTTGGCGCACACTGGACTTCGCCTTTCGCCTTTCGCCTTTCGCCTTTCGCCTTTCGCCTTTCGCCTTTCGCCTTTCGCCTTTCGCCTTTCGCCTTTCGCCTTTCGCCTTTCGCCTTTCGCCTTTCGCCTTTCGCCTTTCGCCTTTCGCCTTTCGCCTTTCGCCTTTCGCCTTTCGCCTTTCGCCTTTCGCCTTTCGCCTTTCGCCTTTCGCCTTTCGCCTTTCGCCTTTCGCCTTTCGCCTTTCGCCTTTCGCCTTTCGCCTTTCGCCTTTCGCCTTTCGCCTTTCGCCTTTCGCCTTTCGCCTTTCGCCTTTCGCCTTTCGCCTTTCGCCTTTCGCCTTTCGCCTTTCGCCTTTCGCCTTTCGCCTTTCGCCTTTCGCCTTTCGCCTTTCGCCTTTCGCCTTTCGCCTTTCGCCTTTCGCCTTTCGCCTTTCGCCTTTCGCCTTTCGCCTTTCGCCTTTCGCCTTTCGCCTTTCGCCTTTCGCCTTTCGCCTTTCGCCTTTCGCCTTTCGCCTTTCGCCTTTCGCCTTTCGCCTTTCGCCTTTCGCCTTTCGCCTTTCGCCTTTCGCCTTTCGCCTTTCGCCTTTCGCCTTTCGCCTTTCGCCTTTCGCCTTTCGCCTTTCGCCTTTCGCCTTTCGCCTTTCGCCTTTCGCCTTTCGCCTTTCGCCTTTCGCCTTTCGCCTTTCGCCTTTCGCCTTTCGCCTTTCGCCTTTCGCCTTTCGCCTTTCGCCTTTCGCCTTTCGCCTTTCGCCTTTCGCCTTTCGCCTTTCGCCTTTCGCCTTTCGCCTTTCGCCTTTCGCCTTTCGCCTTTCGCCTTTCGCCTTTCGCCTTTCGCCTTTCGCCTTTCGCCTTTCGCCTTTCGCCTTTCGCCTTTCGCCTTTCGCCTTTCGCCTTTCGCCTTTCGCCTTTCGCCTTTCGCCTTTCGCCTTTCGCCTTTCGCCTTTCGCCTTTCGCCTTTCGCCTTTCGCCTTTCGCCTTTCGCCTTTCGCCTTTCGCCTTTCGCCTTTCGCCTTTCGCCTTTCGCCTTTCGCCTTTCGCCTTTCGCCTTTCGCCTTTCGCCTTTCGCCTTTCGCCTTTCGCCATCAGAAAAAATTACTCAGATTTTTCAAAAAAATTTTATTTATAAAACCCACACAGACACATTTTTATTCTTTATTTTGCTTTTTTTTTTTATTCCCTTAGTTCCTTTTCTTTTTTTCTTCTTGTTTTTTTTCCATCTTCCTGAGTTGCCATTAACAGACATTCTCATTTCTAGGAAGCAATGACATGACTAATGCATGACCATGAAACATTTTCTCTGCTTTTTCCCCCCCTCTACATTTCAAAAAATCACACATCTTTTCTCTTCACCATGTTTCCATTGCTCATTTTCCTTACTGTTTCTCTGTCATTCCTTTACAGTTGCATTTCAATCTAATCTTTTCAAAGCACCATCCAGGCCACTTATTTCTCACTTCTTCACAGAACCAGCCTTAACACACACAATGACCAGTAACATTTGGCATATCTTATTTCAACTCTGCACTACACCCTCTGTTTTCCTCTAAACAGCATTGACATACCCTCCTTTTAGTCCATGTACTGTTAAAAGCACACCATTCTTAGTATTCACAGGGCAGACATGCATCAAGCCCAATTATGTTTCTGGTCTATACATGGTTGCCACCATGATGGCAAGGCTGCTGCACACAGGCCACCGTACAAGCGGTGCCAGAAGGTACAAGCCACGTGGACCCTTTTAGACACACCCCAGACAGAATTACAAGCACCATGCTTCACTGGACTGACACGTTCTACTTCAAAGCCAGCATAGTCAACATCCTGGCACAATTGGGACTCCGCACCTTAAGTCAGTTATATAATGAACAGACGATTAACCCTCGCACATCATAATTCAGAGATAACAGCCACACAAAGCAAACTTAAATCTTCCCCTGAAGTACAAACAGGATATTTTCAAACAAACAGCCACTATTAATTAAACCCATCTCAGTTGTAAAAGAGCAGGAGGAGCAAATGAGAAGGGCGACAGCGATCCTGCCACTGTGTGCCCTGAAGTGACCTAAGGCTGCCTAAGCTCATACCCCTCGTAATCCAAATCCAGAAACCGCTGACATTATTAGTATCCCAACCGGCATTTAAGTCCCAAGCCAACTCAACAACCTGCACTGAGGGACAAGAGTCACTTTCCCATACTATGGGCCCCGAGATTCATCATCCTGTTTATCATCTGAAGCTTAACAGATACTGTACTTCTCAACCCCTTACTAGATATACCCTGCACACCACTTACTGCATAGTAGCCCACTTCTGTTATCACGTCCTTTCAATAGAAGTAGTCTCGACCATTCTAACAGAAGGAATTGCCAATTCCAACCTGTTCAAAGGCTTCACCCTTCAACCAGACGAACTACATATCACACTTAAGTGATATTTGTAGGGAGATGGTTGAGTCCTGCAAGATTTCTTCAGCGCAAGAGCTACATCCCACCAGACATATAACTACCCCAATACACACACACACACACACACACACACACACACACACACACTCCTCCAACACCGCCTTAATCTCATTAACTGCTATAATCATACAGCGATTCTTTAAGCACAAAGTAACATAGCTAGGACTAACCACAACTAATACTGAATAAATCCTTGGTTGCTTAACATCATATCGAACCTTTGAAGAACCAGCCTTTGTTTGCTGCAAGAAAGGAAGGAAACAAACCCTCAGATGCTGGGTTTCAGGCCAACCGCAAACTACTCCGTGCTGCTTTTGGTATTTATAAACCAACTCAGTAGCCTTGTCAAGACTAAGTCACAGTTTAAATCTTGTCCACTTTATCAGTGTCAATTAGAATTTCAACGTGCTTCACCCGCTACTGTAGAAAAAGTCACTTCCGCAGCTGTGCGGTTAGCTACGTTAGCTGTCTGCTAAATACTTTATCTCCCAGCCCCTTACTGATGAAAGAAATAGCCAACGCTGTCAATGCTCAAGAAATACAG